GTGGAGAGTTCCATCTCTGGTGTGATTTGCTGGAAGTCCGTAGTCAACCAGGGCTGGCCTCCACCTATCGCTGAACCACCAGCTTTCAAGCCATCGCGAAATGTCCTCACATGTCTCCGTATTGTTTCGCGTCAAGGATGCGAGGTTGACCTGGAAACGTGCATATGTCTCGTCCCAGTGTTCTTCGTCATCGCATCGCTGGCAGTCACGAAGTCCCGCAAGAAATTGAGAAACCTTTTGACAGCCAGTGGGATCTCTGCCAAAGATAGACTGTCCTCGAGATCGGGCAGCTTGCATGAAGTGAAATTGACAGAGACGAACTGGTGTTCCCGGGAATACTTCTTCAACAGCATTTCGCTCTGCATCGTCGCAATCGATCATGACAAATAGAGGGGTGAATCCGTCGAAGGCGATATCGTCGGCATACATGAGCAAGGAGTCCTTATCCTCTGCCGAACTGACAATGTCCGATTTCCCACTGACAAGCGCACGGGCTTCGTTTTCGATAGCTTCGCGAACTGTTTCAAGGAAATGTGTGTATGTGTCTGTGTTTGCGTGATTTGAGACCATCACAGCAACTGATTAACGGTCAGCAGGTTGGCAGCCAGGCTTGGTCAAGACTCACCGGGAACCATGTGACCGTACTCATTGACAGTGGTCAAAAAAGTGACTGGGCACCTTATGGCGTTCTTGTTTCTCCAAGAAGAGTCCATGGCTAATCCCTGCTCTCTGGCGTGGCGGATGGCGGATTGAAGAGCGTGTTTCGGGGCGATAACGCAGAGGAATTCTTCATCTTTTGGGATGTGTTCAACGCCACCAAGTTGAAGACTACTGGGGTACTGATAGCTAGAGGCATCAGTAAAAGAATGGCGAAGCGTTCTGGATGCTGGACTCACCTGAGAAACGATTCAGGATTCGCGGCATGAACAATAGCAATTGCTGCCAATGGCAATTTATCAAGTCTCTCTCGACGAAGAGCCGTCCTGATGGCAGTGGTAAAGTCTCGATCCTTCGGCAACCGCCAGGGGCATTCTTTCTTGGCCCATGTTACATACTGATGGTATTGGCAGAAATGTTGGTCCCAACGAATTTTTAAACGTGATTCGGTGGTGCCAACCATTGTTGCAGCGTCATGAAGAAGATTTCTGACATAAGGGGAAAGACGGAGTAGGTGTAAAGGTTGGGGTTCACCATGATAGGCGATTCGGGCTCTAATCAAAGTGCAGACTGCGCGATGTATCTGTCGAGGAGTCATTCGTATCTGTTGACCGTGAGCGTGACAGGGCTATTCGGTAAAGAAACGCCAACCCACCTCGGCGAAAAAGGCACACCTTTGAGGTAAACCTTTTGATGATTGCGTTTTGAGCGGGCTTGATGCTGGTGGGGGCGAAGTCTCATCCAGGTCTTCGGAGAGCGAGGAACCCTTTCGCTCTGCTAAAACTTGTGCCAGTGTCTGCCGTGGGGCTTCTACCTGGCAGCAGTTACCACTGCATCTCCAGATGGACCTCCACACAAGCTTGTCCGGACCGTCCTCGAAGGCTTTGTCGCTGACGAAGAAATTCGCATGACGGGCTCTTATGTCGTAGGGAAAAAGAGCAGGCGGGTCGAGCCATTCAACTTCGACGTGCTTGGAGACATAATGGTTCTCCACATTGTAGTCTTGACGCTGAGTAACATCAGCCTAGAAGGGAATGCAGGGAGAAAGACCTGCCATGGTATCAAAAGCCCTAGGGATCCAGCGAAAGGGCACCTCAAATGATTCGTATCGGGGATCGTTGATGATATCCTGCTTGGGTGTGCGGGCAAAGCCACCAACTTCGCGTATGTTGTCACCTTGGCTAGCTTGAGATCGGTGTACCGAAACGTCAAGCTGAGGGATTTCGGGGCCTTCGGATGTGTAAGAATGGGAAGGAATTTCCAAGAGCTGGAGACGAAGAGCAGCTTCGCGTCGGCCTTGATCGATGCTGTGGGGTGTGACGCCAAGGTCACCAGTTGATGAGGAGCCGAATGTAGACTGTGGAGTTGCCGAAGTGTTTGATTGAATTGGACTCAAGCCAGTGGCTTGGAAAGGTGTCGAAGGCGTGGAGTTTGAAGACGAAGAATGGGAACTCTTCGAGATCGATTTACTAACTTGTTGGCTATTGTGTTCGCTGGGCTGCTTGCCCAGCTGTTCGGTATTTTGTTGGCTATTGTGTTCGCTGGGCTGCTCGCCCAGCTGTTCGGTGACTTGTTGGCTGTCGTGTTCGCTGGGCTGCTCGCCCAGCTGTTCGGTAGTTGGTTGGCTGTCGTGTTCGCTGGGCTGCTCGCCCAGCTGTTCGGTAGTTGGTTGGCTGCCGTGTTCGCTGGGCTGTTCGATAGGGTGTAGGGTGTTTCGCTGGCCATCGTGAGAGCTGCGCTGTTCGGTATTGTGTTGCTTATTGTGTTCGCTGGGCTGTTCGGCCCTGACGGCTGAAAGAGGTGTGCCATTGGCCAATGCGAACTGCAATGCTTCCTCTTCGGCCACAGTGGAGAGACGATCTGGGAGTTAGAAGCTTATCCACAACACATAGGACGAGATAACTAACCTGTGTGTATCTGGGCTCGTTCAGCGAACAGGTCTCCGGTTGGTACAAGTGAGGGATTTGGCCAAGTTTGAGTAGGAAGATCTGGGGTAAGTGAGCAAATCGTTTGACACAGGGGACTGTAATCTTGAAAACTCGCCTGGTACAACTTTCGAAACTCCAAAGATCGCATCTGAATCATGGCGAAATACTCTTGGAGGACGCCCAGGCCTATTGGTGATTGATCTGGCAGCATTGACAATGAGATTGTTTGCCTGCTGGCTGGTGTCAGACATATGGGCAGAAAAATGGATGAGAATGTGAGTAGAGAATGTGAGTAGAGAATGTGAGTAGAGTACAAAGGTTATAGAGACTTTGATGTTAAAAAATTCATTTTGAAGTTGTTTATGTTTGGCCTACGTGCCGGGGTGTGCCGGGGTGTGCCGAGGTGTGCCTGATGTTTCGGGGTGTGCCTGACGGTTCGGCGAAATAGCCCAAAGCCCGAAGTGATCATATTAAATGGGAACTAGTTCACATGGAGACAAGAAGGCTGGATGACAGGCCTGAACACATGTGTGGGAGCAGGTTAAGTGCAAAAAGCAGAGAACTGAGCATGGTTTTGAAGTGGGAGTTTTGACTCAGCAGTGGTGGTATGTGGTTGTGGAGTGATGGTATGTGGATGTGGAGTGATGGTATGTGGTTGTGGAGTGATGGTATGTGTATGTGGAGTGATGGTATGTGGAAAGGGAGTGGGGTGAAGGAAAGGTTGAGTGGCGTGTTTTGGGAAAAACCGAAAAAAAGTGAGGGGAATAATTACAGAAGTGGCCGGATTATCCCTACACGCCGAGTTGGTCCTATCAGGCAGGCTGAAAGCCAACATTTATACTTTCCCACGGTGTCCCGCTCCCCCACCGCCACCGGAGCCCCACGAGCGCCCAGGTTAATCGAAGTGCGATCGGTTGTGACGTCAAAATCCGCTTCCGAGACACCGTCGACAAGTCTGACCAAGCAAAAGGATACTGTGGTAGAGATGGATGAGCAAGCAAGTCTCTAAAGGGTGTTAGATCTCTTACAAATACCTCTCGTCTCATCCCTCAATCATAGCTTTACAACTCTCTCAAAGAAAATCACTTCGAAATGGCCACTGAACAGACTACGATAGCTCCTTGCTGTGTGGACGGACGTGAGTATTGTCTTGCTTCTCTTCTCCGTGACTCTGTGGCATGTTACTCCCTGTTCAACTAGGGAAGTGTCATTAACACCTTCCGAAAAAGTTCATATCGTAATACTTTCCAAACGATTCACCCTATTTACTCTCCATCTTAAGGGACTGTACCAAACTTCCAACTCCCACACTCCTCCTTCAATCTCTACACCCCTCTCTCAATGACCCCCAACGTGAGCCGAGAACACAAAGGATGATTCCAACGACAAGAGAGACTTCATCATTTTCTTGATTACCCTTTATACTGTAAAGTACAAGGATCATAGTGACCAGTTAAAGAAGCTATTAGACAGCTACATAAATAACACAGTTGACATTCAGATATCCACGAAGGCACCCCACTCGGGTCATTCGAAATTATCAACGGTCTTCGTACTTATGTCGTTGACCCTAACCCTCCGACATCTGGAAAACAAAATGTGATAGTTATCATCTCTGACATCTTCGGGGTTGATTTACTCAACACCAAGTTATTCGCCGATACCTGGGCACAGCACGAATGGAAGGTTTACGTACCTGACTTTCTCGAAGGAGATGCTGTTGATCATTCACATTTGAAAGTGAGTCGAACAGTCTTCTCGTATTTCTCACTTCCTAGTGGCTTCCGACAATTTTCGATATCCTCGCCTACCTCTTACTTTTCTACTGATAAGTATCCGCTCTCGTCTTCTTTTCTCAACATAGGAATGCAAAGGAATGAAAGAACTAACTTCACTTCCACAGACAATCGTACCCAATCTTCGTGATCAAGCTAAAGCCACTGCGATCTCCAAAGCCAAAGATGCAGCCGAGACAGCAGCAACATTAGGTCCTTGGTTAGTAACTCATCGTGAAGCCGTAGTGAAACCTCTCATCGAGGGATTTGTAAGGAAATTAAAGGAAGATCCAAAAGTTGGTAAAATTGCAACTGTTGGTAATTGTTGGGGTGGACGTTATGTGAGTTGTTGAATCCACTTTCTCATCTCAAATAAATTTTACTCAAAGCATCAATACCTTTATCATATTCCATAGATGTATTGACAATAATAATAATGAAATATTATACTGATCAGTTTAGGCCTTGATTCTCGCACAAGAAAACTCCCCTGTTCGAGTCGATTGCTCAGTAGCCAACCATCCTGCCTTTTTGGTCAATTCCGATGTCGAACCAATCACTTCCACACCATGTGCGATCTTCAAAGGTGATAAAGATGTCATGATGACGGAAGAACAATTGGATGAAGTCGAATCTGTTCTCAAAGGAAATTTAGGGGAAGAAAAAGTTTGCGTTAGGAGGTACAAAGATGCCGTTCATGGGTTTACCGTTAGAGGTGATGATATGATCGAAAGTGAAAAGAAACAAAAGGAAGAAGCGGCGGCGGAAGGTATCAATTTCGTCGCTAAGTGGTTTGCCGCTTGACTTGGGGACATAAGCGTTTGACATGACCGAGTTTGAAAAGGTCGCGGAGAAGATCGGAGAAAGGGTATGGTATGGGGTACAGGATATGAATATGAAACATGAATATGGAGAATGAATCCCACAGTGTGTTTGGAGTTTGCACTTTGTCAGCATGAAATTAGACTTACATTTTACCATTTTGCAAGTAGCATCGAAGCATGCAAGAATATACGGACAGGCTGGTTGACGCCTTCGTCATACACTGATACCATGGTATAGTCGTATTCGGTCGTGCATCGTGCATCGTGGAGTAGAAAAAAAACGATATGGCATGTTACATATACTACTGGTAATCAAAAGCCTGTCTGGTGAAAAGATGCAATACAGTAATAATCCAACAATCCGACAGATCCAACAACTATAAATTCCCACTTATGACCATTCTTCTCTCCTCGATTTGGTTTTCGACTATAATTGAGGTTCAAGACCTTCACAGATCACGACACGACTAGAATACCGTGAAGATTCCGCCTCCAAATCATATCACCACACTACCTGCAGTACATGCAGTAATGATATGTGTAACAACGTCCAAATACCGTCATATTTCAACATACCCACTCCGCCGCCGCCTACAAATCGGGTGAAGCAAAAGCGGGTGACCTCAATCATGAGCCCCGGGAACATCTTTGAACCTGCAATCCTTCGGTCTGTTCCTGAGCCCTGTCCCTCATTTGAAAAAAAGTAAAACTTACTGATTACACCGTACACCATAAGGACATTTATGCCTATTCGATCAGTTCTCCCCATCTGCGAAGAAAGCTACTTACCCGTATATACATGGGCCTTTCCCGTTTACCTCTGGACCTGATAATTAATCATCGAACATTACGATAAGTCAATATGAACGATTGCAACAAGAGTCCCGTACAAGGAAATACTCACATTTACCTTCTTTCTTGGCTGAACATGGTAAACGTCGAACTGTTTCTCGTAGGTCATTTCTCTGAGCCCTGGTGAGTTCAAATAAGTCAGCATCACAAGTATTTCCTCAGACTGGGAAAGATTCACCATAGTCATGGGAATATCGACACTCATCACCGAAACTACAATAAGGTGCTTCTTCGTCAGTCTATCACATGCGAATCGGAAAAAGTAGCTGACTTAGGTAAAACCTGTCTGTCAATTCCTCGTCGGTGGAGGACAGGTACTCACCATTGACACGGACCAGGATTCATCTCTCTGACTGATTTCTTTGTCCGTTTCGTCCCTTGACCGTAGATAACGGTCTGAGAACGAGTGGGAGCAGACCTGGCGACTTGCCACCCCGATCCGTCTGACTCTTGAGAACGTGCCGTTATTTCTTTGGCTCGTTGTGCCGGTGGACGATAAGGACCGACACTTGAAGTAGGACGTGGGGTCGTGACAAGGATAGATTTGGGAGCTGTCTGGCCCAACGCTGAACTATACGACCGTGGAGGACGAGAACGAATGGATTTCCTGGACTCGGTGGACACTGTGGGCGCTTCTCGTTCGGGTTCGACGGATTCATCAATGGACATGGCAGGGTGTTCTGATATGGATAGGGATTCATCTTGGACCTCAGTCGTAGCGGTCGATATGTCAACGCTGTCTTCTGTGACGCCTGTGGTCTCGGCATAACTCCTAGTGTCGTCTGGGGGTGCGATGTCGCTGAACTCGGGTACGAGATCTTGAGGAATGACGGGGGTTCGTTCGGCTTCACCCTCTACGGGTAAAGTAACCTTGGCGATTTCCTGGTTCTCCACGGGGATCTCCCCCACTTCAGTGGACGTCTCTTGAGGTACAGACGAATCGTCTTGAGCATTCACCGAGTCATCATGGACTTTTGTAGCTCCTGCATCGGCATCCGTAGTGGAAACAGGAGCTTCAGCGGGATCCTCTTGAGCTTCGGGAACATCGTCCAGAAGATGTGTAGATTCATCATGGGCTTGAACAAGAACGGCATCTATCTTAACGGGACTCTGAGATCCGGCGGGCAGTTCGTCGAGATCGATCAGAAGGGAAGGTTCTGCCGTAGGCGGGGAGAAAATGGAAGGAACTGACGTTGGCATGATGACTATCCGATCGGTCCTGAATAATTCGGGCATGGAAACGGTTGGTAACCTGAAGGAGGCGATGCGGGGTGGAACCTCTTCATAACCTTTGAGAAGGACCACGTTATGGAGTTTTCTTTCAGTCTGCAAACTAAAATCAGCGACTAAAAACATTACGTCGACCTGACAATGGTTCAAAGTATGGGTTCTCACCTGTTCAAAGTGGAGGCATAGCCTGTATCGTGGCTGATTCCAGCGTAGATGGTCTTGCAAGCCGGATTGCCTGCCAAAAGATGCAGGTGCGCTGATAGGGGTTTTAGCCGACGTCCTGGAAATTAAGTGGAAGTAAAACTACCTTTGATCTTTGAGTCCGCACCTTCTTTCATCTTGAACACATCTATCACTGAACTCGTCAGACTTGTGATCGAAGACAAGGATCAGACTTACCGGAGAAGAGCTCATGTGCACCACAAAATTCCTCCCAGAACGCTCGGAATTGAGTATCTCTCACGCCCTCGCTCTTAGCACCATCAGCGCTTGGTCTCGGAGCATGTGCTCGAACACACCTTCAATGCGTACCACAAGCCACTTCTATTGAGAAAGATGTTGACTACGATGGGCAGCTTGCTGTCATACCCTGATGAACCCTTGCCACCAGCTTTAGTTCGAGAAAAGGAGAGAGATGACTGGGAGATTGTTATTTCTTCACCGTCGCGGAATTGGGAAGTATTTTGTTCGAGGTGTTGGATGGCAGAATAAAGATAACGTGCTGCCTCAGCCCCACCTCTACCTGGGTGATCTGGATCATTGCAGTTGAAGAAGTCTTTCTGGAACTATCTCTTCAGCTTAATGGGCAATATAAAATGAGGGATCTTACAATCAACCCATCACCGTCGATGAGCACGAGGATATAAGGTTTTGCGGATTGCCGAGCCTGCGTGAGGGTGGTATATTTATCCGTGTCCACTTGCCTGTTGGTGAAGTCAGTATTGTCGAATGAGAATGAGCGACGACTATGTGATAGTGGCGAAAGGAGCGGTCTCAGGCCATCTTCCTCCGACAAGAGCCGGATACGTCGTCTTCGAAAACTACAAACGTTGCCCATGCTTATCGATGTTGAGGAGTCTAGACGTCAAGCAGCATGGGAGTCAAGAATGAAGATGATATTAGGGAGAAAGTCAGTATTTGTAGGCTATGTGAGCATGGTGCCATGCTATGACGACCACGCCAGCGTCTTGTGTTGGTCTCCTCGTGTCAAGGGTCAAGATGCAGTTGTGAGATAGGGGAGGATCCTTGGTTGGTGAGTGGTGGTGGGGAGGACAGGAAACTCCGGGAATCTCCGAAAGTCTTGCAGTGTGGCATCTCCCCCATGCTTGAGTTTTTACCGTTTTCACCTGTTTCTCTCTCACTTTTTAATTTATCGTAACTGTTTGCACTTTTTTCTGATATCCTTTTGCGATATATAAGCTACAGCTTCTGGCCTTCACTTCAACATTCTCCCTTGACTTTGATTCATAGTCGTAACCATCAAGCATCATGGGTGAGCTTTTCACTCCTCCTTTGGGCTGTCCACCGCTGCCAATCACCACCGAGAGAGATCTTTGCTGACATCACCTTTTCCCGTCATGTCCCACCCTTCGACCTCTCTATCGCCACTCATGATATCCCTCTGTCGATTCAACTTACAGCACCCAAGAAGTCCAAAGGGCAAAAGATGGCCCTGGCCGATTTCTTCGCCGATACAGGTGAGCATTCCGGTTCAGATGTCTGCCTTGTAACTAAATAAAAGCAACCGGTACATCATGGGCCGACGAGATGGACAATCTACCCACCGCTCGTGAGTTTCGTCTCGTCTAGATTCATCTTCATGTCGCTGATATGTCTTCAGCCGCCGCTCGTGATTCTTCTGCACCCAAACGCGGCGAACCCGGTTATCTCGATTCCATGCCCGATCGTGGCCACGGCGACCGTCCTGGTGAGGTCCTGCTTGTCTGAATCGGGATTCGATCACTGACCTGGAATCAGCTTTCGGAGGAGCAATCCCTGCCAGACAAGATGTGCCCATTCCCAACGCTCCTCCCTTCACCGCCCACGTAGGTAACCTCTCGTACGAGACCGAAGAGGATGATCTACGTGCTTTCTTTACCGAGCTCCAACCTACCGGCGTACGTATTTCGAAGAACGCCGAAGGACAACCAAGAGGATATGCACATGTAGATTTTCCGACTGCAGACAAGCTACGTGATGCTTTGGCCAAAAACTCTCAGCAATTCAGCGGACGGAGTATTCGAATCAGTGTCGCAGAACCATGTCAGTTCTTCCTTCCTTTGATCGGACTTTCGTCATGGCTTTTCCCCCGCTCGTTCGGACGAATCAGGACTTGGCTGACGGACAGCTGCCGGAAGGAAAGACTTCGTACCTTCGGCTGCCGAGGAGGCCACACAATGGCGACGCGCTGGCCCTCTTCCTGTCCGGGAATCACCTGTTCTCGGTACTCGTCGTGGCCCCTCATTCTCTCCCGCTGAACCAGCCGTCGAGCGTGACTGGTCCGCTGCTCGAGGCACCGAATTCGTCCCTGCTCCTCCTGCGGTTGGTCTGGGCATAAGACGTGAATCATCTGGCGCAGGGAGAATGCGTGATATCGGTCCCACCGCCGCGGACGAAGCTGGTCAGTGGAGAAGCGCACGACCTATGGCGGAGACGAGAACCCCGATCAACGGATCGCATCCTACGTCGGGCGAGAACAGTCCCTCCCCCGCTGATACGGAACAGACCGTGAGTGATGCCGTTGTCCATAAGTATGCTCCTGACAACAAGTGGGCCAGAGGAACACGGTTCAAGAGCCAAGAACCTACTTCAAGAGCCACTACCGCTTCGCCTGGCGAGGAACGTGACTGGCGCGCCGCTCGACCCTCGCCTCAGCCTGCCGCTTCCCCTGATGGACCAGAAGAGAGTGCGTGTCATCATTTTGCATGCCTGATCTATCGGGTCCTCACCTCTTGTCATGCGTATCTTTGTAGTTGGAGAATGATAACAAGTGTGCTGATTATTCAGGTCCCAAAGTTCCCACCGAGCGTAGAAAACTCACCCTCGCCCCCCGTTCTGCTCATCCATCCCCTTCTACCACTACCACCGAGGCTCGCTCTCCGAACACTGCCATTTTCGGCGCTGCCAAGCCCATCGATTCGGCCGCTCGGGAAGCTGCTGTGGAATCACGTCTCGCTGCCCGTGAGGCAGAACGCAAAAAGGCGGCTCAAGCTGCTCGGGAAGAAGAAGCCCGAAAGGAGCGTGAAGAAGATGAGAAAGCTCGACAATTTGCCGACGAACGAGCCCGGACCATCAAGGAAGCCCAACAGAAGGCTCAGGCAGCAATAAATCCTAATCCCACCCCTAATCAGAACAATCACGTGTCATCAGGACCACCTAGACGATCAAGTGGACCCGGTGTCGAACGCTCTGAGAGAGGTGGACCGAGGCGAGGAGGTCACAGTGTCAGAGGTGCGAAGAGCCCGAGGGTTGAAAGCGATGGATTCGAAGTTGCCCAGGGTACTGGGACAAGGCGACAGGCGCAGAATCAACCTACGGTTGAGAAGAAGAAAGAGGCACCAAGACATTTCAGTTTCGCCGCTGCAGCCGCTTTGGTGGATGAGGACTTGGTGGACGATGTTGACGATGCGGAAGAGGAAACGTTGGCGGGGAGCGTTGAGGGTGTGACGAAGGGCTTGGAAGATGTCCGAGTGGAAGAGTAGACGCGGGTTGGGTGGAGGACTCGACTGTAGCAGTCGAGGTCGAGAATGGCGAAAAGTCGATATAATTGGCAACACGTAACGCTTGAAGAGGAACCAAAGGGAAATCGATACCATGAGCAAGGAGTGTGTAAGTGTGGATTCTTGAGCTACGTTAAGGATGGGTGGGGGTGGGATAATTCCGTCTGACAGTCTACGATAGGGGAGCTAGTAGATACATAGGTTTTATAGGATCGTAGTTCAGCATCTGCATTGGATTCGTTATTTCTCAGTCTGACGAGTGTGTTTCTTCGCTTCTGTGTTCCATGTGGTGCACTCCAAGCAGGTACGTCACAAGAGAGGAGACGTTTTGTGGACGTATAGCATAGCATCTCATTCGATATTTAACAAACGAATGAGGATGAGGGGACTACATAGGAAGTATGGATATGATCAAACGATCGAATCGAAGTTTGGTATGACAGTTCCCAATCCCATATGCTGAGCTTGTTGAAAGATTAACTCTGCTATAGCTACATCTTGAAGACCCATTCCTACCTGATCATCAGCATATCTTCCGAGCCCATCCCTCCGTTCGCTTCACTTGACAAACTCTCTTTGCCGATTAATCTCTTCGGAAAGAATCAAAAGCCAACGATTGGTTATATAAAGTAGAAAAATTAATGAAATTTGACTCACGCTTTTATAAACTCTCAAATCTCCTTCTTTAACCACCTTCTCCCTTTTACTACCATCTACAATCACATCACCCAATTCCATCATTTTATCATCTTTCAAACCTACCAACTCTCCAGCTTCTTTCTTACAAGCAGAACGAGAATCCACAATGACAATCCCTGATCTCCTTATGACCCCCTCATCTACTTCACGCATGAAAGGTTTATAACTACCTACTAAAATTACGGAAGTACCGGAACATATGTCGACAGAATTGAATAATGGTTCGGTGGAAGGTGTGAGTGTACATATTATTTGTGCGTTATGTATGATTTGTGATAATAAAGGATCACGGATTTCTTCTTGATTTTGAGATTCACCGGACGTCACTTTTACTTCCTTCATAATGTTTTGGTCTTTGGTTTGTCGTGTGGTTGAGGAAGTATGTTGGTCTAGTTGTGGTTGAGGATGATAATGAGGAGCAACATATGTTGAAATATGTATTGAGATATTTTTCTTTGGGAATGAAGATTGAAGTGAGATGATTAATTTTTCCCCTCGAGGAGAATCTCTTCGAGCTATGAAAGTACATGTTGTCAAAGATGGGAATAATTCAAGGAAAAGATTAGCATGAGCTGAAGATTGAGCACCTAAACCGAATATCACTAAATTTGTCGGAAGTTGTAGAGGAGGGAATGAACGGAGGAATAATGCAGAACCTAACCATGAGCTCTTTTCTCTGTATGATTATTTTCTCTGACACGAGGATCTCAAAGACATCATCTGAGTTTCGTGAGTTTTGAATGGTATTGTATTGCAAGGTCTATGGATTTACGGGAGACACAACACTTACCAGCCGCATTCCTCAAAGCTGTCAATTTCCTTGCGTTTATAACACCTTTCACCCTTCCAAGTTCATCCATCAAAATTGTACTCGCTGGTAATCCCTCACCATTCAGAGGGACAGAAACAATCTTTATACCTTCTTCTCCCTTTTCAGTCCTGGAAGGCATGTAGAGGGTAGTGTTCGTATTGGATTTCAAGGAAGTCCGAGGGGGTAATTGCGTCTTGCCATTATCATCTTCCTCTTCTACTTCTTCATCGCTCTTCTTCGATTTGTGCACGGTAGAAAGGGAAATGAATATTTCTGATTGAGATTGAAGGATCGTTTCAGGGTCAAGAGATGAGATGATGGTATCGACATCTGAGGCTGTCAGGATGGTCAATGTGCCAGGTTTGTCCGAGGGGTTCAGAGGAGTAGGAAGTGGAGGCGTTTGATCTTGAGTTGGTAGAGGAAGAGTAGGGTTAGGGGATAATGATGAAGGTGTTGGAGATGGAATGTTTTGACCCATCATCAGTCAAGTGTCAGTAAAAAGTAGGTTATGATGTAGGTAGGAGGATGTTATATCCTGAGGAAGCTTTCAGACGTTGGAAAATACCTCGAGGTGCATGGGGCAGTGGAGGCGATGGTGGAGCTGACACGTGACATCTTTGACGGCAGCATGCAGGATGCAGCAAGACAAAGCGGTAGGATTTAGACTGTGTGTTCTGTACGTGGAAGGGGTTCTATGTATGTACCTAGTACCTACGCTCCTCTCGCCTGTGCTTGTGATAGATACCCGCGATCACCTATGTACAACATGCACGTCTGCACGTCTGCACAACACGTCGCGTCACGGTCTTCTCGCCTTTGTGACTCCCTTGGTCGTGACCCCATTGATGGCGACGCGACGTTGACGACTGGTACCACATTGATATAAGTGTAACCTTTTGTCTCACGTCTCATCTTCATCCTACGTTCAACTGTCTTGACACCACTCGATAATTGCTCAATTGACTCAAACAGCGGACACCTCGACCTCGACAAAGAACTGTATGTAGTCGACAATACGAAGCGAGAGGGTGCCACAGGCCACACATCCCAACCACTGCCATGAGGTTTTTCTCCCGACTTCGGAATGTCATCTCCCACCATGCCACCATTCACTTTCGACCGCTATGCAACCAATCGTCACGAATGAGTCTACTCCCGAACGATCAGTCGAGGCATAGGATATCCCGGATATCTCACTCTACATGAGCTACGACACACCATCGCTTGCTTGTATCGACACCATAATTCGCTATCTCGCCTTTGACTCGACCCGACGCGTGTACGACGACGCGCCCGTTAGACCAGGTCCAAAAATTCATGACGCGTGTGCGCGTCGTGTATCCCTGAAATACCTTCTTCGAGAGACCACTCCACCACTCCTCATACCTCATGGCTCAATTGCTGCATGCTAGTATGCATGATTGCGTAACCGGGGTCGGGTTTAACGAAGAGGAGATCAGATACGAGACAACGTGGACGATTGTTTCTCCACACAACGCCCATCCGTGTATTCCGTGTATATCTGATGGACAAAACAGTACGCGGACAAGGCTTGTGTGACAGGGGAAACATAGTGTGCGTTTCAAATTCTCGATCTTTAACACATGAGACCTCGGTCTCACCGCGCTGATACTGTGTTGACACATATGGTGTCAGACACACCTCGGTCTGTGGAGCGGAAAGGAAGAAGTGAAGTGAAGCCTGCGCTTCGTCAGGTTTTGTGGGGATAAATTTCTCTCTGGTCAGAGACGTCTATGTGCGACATGCCATAACGTCAATAAAATCTCTTCCTCTCCCTTCGATTGTTCCGTCTGCATCTTACCATGAGGGTACTTGTGCGGGAACCAGACTAGTAGGATATCTCAGGTGAGAGAATGTATAGAAGGAGGGGAACAAAGTATTGTGCATGTGTGGCGTGCAATATCAGAAAATTGGATGCAAACGCAAAAAGACCTAGACGCTCGGACCCTGGATCAACCCCTTACTCGCCCTTCCTGTGTCACATATTGCAAAACCTTTTCTGAATACCTTCTTTCCTTCTCTTCTCAAGCCTCTAAGCCTCCCATCTTCACATCGGGACAATTAACCCCTCTCCCTCTTGCCCTTCACAGTCCATGACCGGTGATCCGCTATAGATCCCCCCCCCCCCTTGGTCCCCTAGAATTGCCCGGGCGAGTAGAGGCAGTCTTTCAACCCTGGAAATCTCATCGATATCCTCACCATCAGTATTCTCTTCATCACCTCACTCATCTACTCAGCCTTCATCTTTGACTCCACAGAATTCGATAATCACCCTTCATACTTTCTGCTATAATCAGCCATTGCCCCTTCTACGTTGAGACTTGTCTAGCAGTTGACAGAGTATCACCCCATCCTCCCGGCCACGACAATCGATTCTTAACTCTTGACCTCATCCTACTCCCATTCACTTCCACACATTAGTCCCTCTTGACTTGATTGGACACAGATCGTCCCGACCGTCATACCCTCTACCGACTGTCGCTTTACCGTTTCTCCCATCAGCCATCTTTGAAGTTCATTATTAGATCAACGTCCACAGGGCACATGTCTATGCTAGGTCCTGATTCCCTCCTCATTTCCACACCCTGAGTCATTCACTCAACATTCATCTCCCTCTTGAAATTCCTGTGTCAAGGTCGACGGATCTTGTTTGTCGACGGACCCCCTCAGACTCGTTTTTTCAAACTTGCTTCTCAATAGCGCCCCCATCCTGTAACTTTGTCTCAGACTTCAACAAGTACCAGATAAAGGATCGAAATCGAGTGGATAAATTTCTGTTCACAGTGAGTCAACTGCCGGTATTTCATATCACCTCATCCGGCACGTTACCTCTCTTGGCTTGAAGCCCACTTCGATCGTTCTCCCCATATTGGTATTCACTTGACTCGGTACTCTCCTAATATGTCACACCTCCAAGCTTTCCTTCTTATACACTTGTCTCCTTCTATTTCACAGATCCTCCCTCTCCTTCACATCTCACCTTGATCACCTTGTTGATCACTTGATCCGCTCCTTCGACTTCACAGCTATCACAGCATCATGACATACCCTCGTTATCGAACTCTGTATCGCCATCCGCTGACATGCCCAGTCCACCCTTTTCCAACCTGCGGACATCCCCTCTACGTGGTGCAGGAGTTGAACGTTCGCTACTCTGTTGTTCCTTCACCAATGACTGGCGGAGTCTTGTACCACTCCACTCAAAGAGACCCGATCCAACTGCATTATCCACAACAGTTGATAACAGATTGGGCACCGGTCAACAGCTCCCTTTCTGGCCGGTCCGAAAAGGAGTGAGTGACTCCTGTCAAAGCTCCTTTCATGTCGATCGGACAATGATACAATGAATCCCAAATGCCGTTGGGAACATGAACATGGCTGACGATGATTCTAGACAGGCAATGCCTTCGCCCTCGACCTCTTTGCTCTCTGCTACCGAATCAAACTCTCAGCAATCATCTTACGACATGCCTCATTCACTCGTCATGCCCCCGACAAATTTTCATCCCATGCCTTACAATGGCCCTGCAGATCATATGCCTCCTTTCACTCCCACTAGGACTGGTATGCCAGGACACGAGCATTGGACACCCATGAACGGCATGTACGCCCCCCCTTTCCCCACTCCCGCCGGTAACGACCACTACTCACCATACGGTCCTCCCGACGGCTATCCCCTGACATCCTCAGTTCTTCGACATGATGTCACCCCCCAGGCAGGCAACAACTACCATGCCATGCAACATACTGGCCGTGCTAGCCAAAAGCGTAAAAGAGCGTCCGGTAGCGGTGGCGGTAAAATTGGCTCGACCCGGATTCTTCGGACACCACAGCGACCTTTATTGCAGATGGAGGAGGAGAGGACAGTCAAACGTCCCAGACAAGACGATGTCAGCGTCACTAGTACTGCCCCAAGTCAACTACCCACACCACCATCGCTTGGGCGAGACATATCCACCGTCAGTCTCCCCACACATGTGCAACCCCCACCACCAAATCCTTCACCACCGCCCACCTCGGAATCAGATGGCGAACCTGCGAGACGACAAAGTGTCACTATAGCCCGACACAGAGAGCTTGGACGTCGAATCAACTTGTCGAATGACCAGGAGGGTATCCAAGAGACTGAGACGTCTACTTTGCTCACTCTGCCCCCAAGAAAAAAGACGATCCCCTCGTTGGCAATCGACGCCACCGGTCATGCCCAAGTGGCTACGGACGAAGTGCTGGAGAGTGAATTGGCTTGGCTCAGCGGACCTTCCACCTCAACTATAGGAGGCTCTTCCCAGCTCCGGACGCCGGCCATGACAAGTAGAGCTTCCTTGCCTGAAGAAGTAGATGACACTCCTCGTACGAAAGAATACAAAGTGGTACGACGGTTGCAGCGGTTCTCGACGGACGTCAAGCTGGATGAACCAATGGTCAGCACCCGTATCAGCAACGTTGGAAGGGTGGCGTTGAGGAAAGATGCCGCTATCAGGTTCATCGGCCTGTTGGATGGTCCCGAAATATATGAGGAAACGCGACAGGAGGAAGAGGATCGTTGGATTGAATCGAGTAAATCAAATCGGACCAGAGTCATCATCCGTCCCGACTGGCCTGATCACGAGGCTCCTTGGGCTCTGGCTGGCGGACGAGGGATGACTCGGTTACGTCGTGAGGCTCTGGAAAAGGCTGAATTGATCCGACGCTATCTCGAGTCTATGAGCGACGAGGATTCCGACGAAGACAGAGAAGATATGATTCCTTTGGAACCCAACTCGAAAGCTGAAGCTGTCTCGACATACATTTCCCGCGCACAAGCATTGATCAATCAACGTCGACGCAAGAGACCCGTAATCGAAGCCGATGCCAGATCTGCTTTACTAGTGAGTCTACGCCAACGGACCATGGAGTATGAACCCGGTGGTCCGATCGATTGCAGATGTGGTGACCCCTCGACGTCGGAAAAAGGGAAGATTATATCGTGCGATGGATGTGGATCATGGCATCATCTATCATGTCAAGGGATAACCGACGAATTGTCTCTACGAGGATATTGGTCTTGTCCTCGCTGTGTCCATCATATCCTCGCTTTACAAAGAACCATCATGGCGACCGACTCTGGTTCATCCTCCTCGACATATCGTGAAAGAGGTCCTCTAGCTTTTCATACTCGATCTGCCAATGTGGCATTAGCACCTTCTCCCATGTTTGCCATGGCACCCACTACGACATTCCGAACTCCTGTGGCTAGAGAAATCTCCTCCCCTCGCCGCCCACATCGTTCGAGGGTTTTGTCATACGAGCATGCGGATTATTTCACATTCCCAGAAGATACACCTGGCAATGGACCTCCTTCAACACCAGCACCCATCAGACCCAATCGTCATTCGACACCGCGACACGATGATGCTTTCGATGTCACTTCGACACCAAGTAGACATATCGATTTCAACTTGGGCGGACCATCGTTGTTCTCACTCACACCATTAGGCGGGAAAGGAAGGGTGGCATCGGGTGCGGTCGAGACACCTATCAGGAGAAGTTTAGCTCATGGGATTATGGGATCTGAACCGAGTGAATTTTTCAGAGAGTTGAACAGAGGTTCGGGGATAGAAGGCGTCGGAATTGGTTCGGGGATAGGGATGTCACCACAATCGAGATGGCCTCATACACTCATGGGAACTCATACTCTCACACCATCACCGTTCGGTCACAAGAGGAGTTTATCAGGTAATGCGGGTAGGTTGAGCAGTATACGATCCAGTTCGAGATCGGGGTTGGGGATGGCTTTTGAAGAACATGATGATTAGGTGGGTTAACTTCTATCTCTAACTCGTCCACCGCCTTCCATCCCCCGCTCTACTTTTTCAGGTTTTCTCCACCAGTTCCCTTACATCCAACCCATATCCGTTCTCCGTGACTTGGACGTTCTGATCCTGAATTTACCCCCTCGTCTCGACCAGATCAGGACTGACTCTCAGTGCATTGCGTCAAAGAAAATGGTTTTCGGATAAGGAAGTGTAATCTGTATCAATGACTGGATAATGAAGGGACGAGACGACGATGAGTGATGGGAAAGCTCCAAGATGAGATGATTACGGTTGAGGGTTTCTAGATGATGCTTGCTTTCAAAGGTTTTTGTCATGCCATGAAAATGTGACTTCTTCGTGCCGTTTTTTGACCAGACCGTCTTGTTTACAGTGACATTAGCTTAGAGCAGCGAATGATCATACAGACGAGGTGGCTCTACTGACCTTGCTTCCATGCTGCATGCTGCATAATAGATAAGACATACAAAAGGACAAAGTACAAGCCCAGTGGCGGGCCAGTAGTGATCATGACGCACGCCACATACAAAACTCACACGACACAAAAGCTGAGAGCTGAATTTCTTCTCCATTCAACTAAGTAGCATTCATCCTCCGACTTTTCAGCTTTCCTCTCAATATCCACATCTCTCCTCCCGGTCTTTCTAAATAGGATTCTCTCGACGAGAAACGACCATAAAGATGTCAACAGTTTTATCATAGTTCAACAATACAATGTATCGACAATTCAGATTTTTCCATGGACCTCGACCATACACGAATTTGAGACCTTTGATAATTCCCCGTCTTCTATCTTCACAAATCGATCCAAGGATCAGGATCAGGATCTTGGGAAAGAACGAATACCTTTCGAGATTAAGACGATACGATATCAAGGGAAGTTTAAGATATATCAATAGGAATTATTCATCTGATAATTCGACATGTCCTAATTGTCCTCATACCCCTTTACCTTCTAAATCTTCCAACTCCCCTCATATCCCCTCTCTCTCTTCCTCTTCATCCAATCTTAATTCATCTCACTCTTCTTCCGATCCCCATTCTTCGAAACCTTCAGGAATATCTTCATTAACTCCCTCACCTTCCCATGAACGGTCTGATCATGCTTCAGAACCCCCACCCAAACCACCCAAACCACCCAACCCACCCGTTCCAACCAATCCAACCAATTCACCAAACCCACTCAGTCCTCCCAGAATTCGAGATCACGCACAAGATTACGTACCCTTCATACAACGTCTCATTCGTCAAACTCGTCTTCAACCATTCGACTCACCTCATCGTCCTTCGAAAGAAGAGTTATTAAAAGCAGCGAACGGATGGTATGAAAGACTGAGAATTCGGTTAAAGTGGTTTACGATAAGAGGATGGAGAAGGTTTAACGTGGATGATTTGAGCGCTTTTGCAAGTTGGTTCGTCCTTGGAAATAGTCAGTCTACTCAATAATCTTCCTCGTATCTGTCGTCTCTTGCTTTCTGTCATATTCTGTAAATCTTGCTTCTTTTCCTTGCCCTCGCCTCCACGTTCAGCTGGTGTTGTAGTGATGACAGTCTTCTAAAGACTTGTTGTTCGTTTGGGGACAGTATGACAATTGTTCGAGAGGAGATGATGGAAATTCGCTAATGTCCAGCTTTATGGATATTGATAGGAACGTGAGTTAGACATGTCCAATTGTATAGAGGTGTAGCTCATAAATCAGGACTACGTTCGTTTCTGCTGTTTTATTCACTTTGAATAGTTTGTCTTTACAGGAATATGTCGCAAGATGGATATCTGATTATCTCACTTCAGAAACAGGTGTGACTGTCATGTGGGTACCACCTCTTTTCTTGTCTTCTAGTACTCCAGTCACGTCATATCTTCCATATACCTTGAACGCTTTATATTGGCATCTCAGAACTTTGCGGGATTGTCTGGTGTCGAAATTTGAGTTGAGGCTATGACTAGATGACATTGATATGTCCTATCGAGCTCGCCAGAGAACACTGATCGCAGAAGAATCTCCAACGGACTCAAAGCTGACACACAGATTCGAATCTGCTATAGTACCAAAATGGGGAGCATCCACAATCACCTTCCGCAACGTTTTCGTCTCACGTCGACCACGATCCTCTCCTGGTTCTTCCGATCGAGATACAGGATCTACCGAAAATACCACTAGAACCCTTACATCCGCAGTACCTATCCTCACCAATATAGTCTCCCCAGAAACATATATTTCCGTACCGCCCGCACCTGAAAGCGAGAATTATACAATGTTCGATGTCAACTTAGATGAGGTGGAGGTGACTCTGAGTTTCATGAGATGGTTAGATGGGAAGGGTTTAGTGAAAGATGCTAGGGTGAAAGGTGTCAGGGGTGTAATTGGTGAGCTCTCACTTCCTTCATTCGTGCAATCGTCCACCAGACTCTTCCCATCCTCTACTCTCGTGACGAACACGTCGATCTTTTTCTGGCTCTGTCATGCAGTCGGACAGATTGAGCGGCCAAGTTGCCGTTGACTATCATGTCTCCCTCATAGACTATGACGGAATATGGTCAGGGGAACAAATTGGACTTGATGCTCACACTCTAGACCGCCGTTCGGTATGGTGGGATCACAACAAATCCCTCGTCCCCGCGGACTTCCGACATCCCACACGGAAAGGCGACTTTGAACTTGAATCTTTTCAGGTGGAAGACGCCCTCGTGACGGTATATCAACCTGGTGGCCAGAGACCATACAACGTTTCCGTGTTCAACGCTTCGATAGGTCCATTGAGGAAGAGATGGTTGTTCTACGATATCATGAGTGCCGAAGCTATCACGGGGCAATTGGACAATTGTTTGTTCAGTCTACACATGCCTCAGAAGCTTGGGAAGGGAAATGGGGAGGAGAGCAAGATTAAGCGTATGGTGAGTGACGTCGCGAGTTGACGCCTTCTTATACATCTCGCGCCATCCCTTTTGTCGTCTTCCTGCATTGCTTGTCCTGAAAGCAAGCTTCTATGCCAAGCCCTACTGATGTTCTCTTACACACTCGTGATCGTCTTGTCATCGTCACCGATGTGGATTCTGCGAGGCAACTTTCAATTGTATAGGCTCGCTTGTGTGAGAGGAATTGTACAAAAATGCTTATCTCCAGGCCCGCTTCCGGATAGATGGTCTAGGTATCGAACACGCTCAATACGCTACTGGTCACACTGGTCCTGTCTCATGGATCACCTCAGGTCGTCTTGATGCCGTACTAGACTTCAAATTCCCATATCACCCAGATGACGAAGTCGACTTCAAAGCGATCTTTGACCAGATCGGGCGGAATGTAGCTACCATCACTCAATCTGGTGTACACCCTGACAACGCTCTCGTCTCGACCACAAACACTGCCATTGAAGCCGCTTCAGCTGTCAGTTCTGCAAGTGAACGACTCGCACCTGGTCAAGCTAGACTCGCTCGACCTCCTCTCCGCGCACCCAGTCCTAACGTCACATCAGGACCAGAAGATGAAAGAAGACAAGTTATCGTGGATATCGATCTTAGGTTCAGAGATCTCAAAGCTGCTGTACCTGTTTTCACTTCGGATATAAGTGTGAAGAATAACGCTATCATGAGACCCATTGTTGCGTTTATCAAGTCAGTTGCGGATCCCAAATTATTGGACAGAGCTGATGAATAGTGCTAACAGAACTCTGGTGCCTATACATTGTCAAGTCGCTGCGGATCTGGTGAGCTGCTGCATTCCGACGGCATTGACGCAGCTGACATCCAGTCTGACTTTGATGGATCCTGGACTTTATTTGAGAGTAAGTGACATCTCTCCGTTTTTTACACACTACCACCTGTTGCCCCGTCTTTTTCCAACTTACCGTTTGGTCCTCATTCCTCACAGAAATCCCTGCTGATTTGACAGCTGGCCTCACAACGTCCATCTCGGATCAAATATACGCAGCACTGGCTTATCACGTCTCATCGGAGACCGCCAACTCTAAAAGGATGCGTCAAGTCGGTTTCTGGGGAATACAAAGAGGAACAGAGGTGTTGTTGGACACGTTGAGGACGGTGGTGGATCCTGTTCACGCGCAATTGGCATGAGATCATGAGGGTTTTTTGGGGGTTAGATGATTATGATTTTTGTTGTGATTTTTAGCATAGGATTTGAATGCACCCACTCCATGATTGTAGTCTTTGCACTCATCTGTACTTGGCCATGTTTGTCCAGGGCTCTCAAAACTTCAAACGCTGACCGACTTGTCCATTCCTCTCCTTGGCCGTTGGCCATTGGAGGGGCACTAACGACGTCACTGCTTCCGTCGGAACTGACAATCACCAACGCTCACCTCACCTCTCTCACTACCAAAGCAAAATACATACATTCGCCTCTCTTCTTTCCCTCCCTTCAATGCCACAGAGCAAAGAGGTGTCGGATCATGGGCAACATATCTTCCATGGCCCGCGCGTGAGTGGACTCGTCATACTAGTACGAAGAGCAGCTGACGTGTAGCTCAACGGCGTTGGATTCTTATGTCGCTGAACTTGGGAATGAAATCTCTTATGATAAGAGGTATGTCCAATATTCCTCCTTCTCCTCAAAGCTTATCTCTGCTTTATCTCCCCTCGTGATCATGTGATGCTACGTGCTGGGTACTGCTCCGTGATCACTGACACACTGGGTGATCATGCGTACCACGGACGAGAACACCTCACGGAGCACAGATTCTTCTTTCCTCGGCCTTAGAGGACATGGAGGTTAGGTCCGGTGGGTGGTACATGTTACAAAGAACTGATTTCAGTTTGACCTCCTCTCGGTTTCTGAAGACCATCCTGGCAAGACATGCCAATGGTCCTCTTGTCTTGAAGATCTTCATAAAACCTGATGCGGCCATGTCACTTCGAGTCATACAGCGTCGATTGAAGAGTGAGCTCAGCTGCTTTCTCCTACCATCTACCATCTACCCATTCATTCATGTTTGGTGTTATGCCATTACTATAGGAGTCGTCGTCTCTTAACTTCCATTCACGGTCTAAGGAGAAGGGTCGCTGGTAGTTTCCCATTCACAGAACCACGCTTTTCATTTCGTGATCAGGTATACATGGATGTCATGATCAGGTATAAATGGGTGGTAGAAGGAGAACAAAAATCAAATGTAACTGACAAATAGACGAGAGGGACGCACTTTTTGATCTTCCCAGTTGTAATAGCTACCAAGCTTTTGTAGAGACGGAAAAGGCAGGGTATCTCATCCGCCAATGGATCGGCTCCAACCTATATGACCGTGTCAGGTGATTTCTTTCGTATGATGTGGTGAACCTCCATTGATTGACAGCACACAACCGTACCTTGCACCTATCGAGAAAAAATGGATAGCTTTCCAACTACTCATAGCTCTTCGAGATGCCAGACTCCGTAAGGTTGCTCATGGAGATATCAAATCAGAGAATGTACTCGTCACTTCTGATCTCACCGTGCTCGTCACAGATTTTTCCAGTTCTTTCAAACCCACTTTCTTACCTTTGGACGATCCATCTGATTTCTCTTTCTTCTTCGATACGTCCGCTCGACGTACCTGCTACATTGCTCCCGAACGATTTTACGAAAGTGGATCTCGTCTTGCCGAGGAAAAGCGAGCAGCAGCCGTGGCTGGCAAAGATTACGGCGAGGGTTGGGGTAAACGGGATGGACGAGTGACGGAAGATATGGATGTTTTTAGCTGTGGTTGTGTCTTAGCTGAGATGTGGACGGATGGAAGAACAGTGTTCAACCTTAGCGAGTTATATGCATACAAGGAAGGCACTATAGGGCTTGATGGAATTCTGGATAACATAGAAGATCACAATGTAAAGGTGAGTGTTTCTGACTTCAAATCTTCCTTACATCAAGTCTGACAACTAGGCAATGATAAGGCAAATGCTCTCAAGAGATCCACGAGATCGGCCCTCCTTCGACCATATCTTGTCAGACTACAGAGGTCTAATCTTCCCAGAATATCTCTATACTTTTCTTAGAGAGTATGTCTCCTCCTTAACTGAGGTACCCGAGAATACGGGTCAAGGATTCCTACAATCACTGGCTACTGAACCGGGCAACAAGATAGATCGAATGTCGGAAGAATGGGAGTCTCTCTCCGTCCATCTGGAAAGCACAAGCTATGATTCAGGTGAGTGCGGGAAAGTTTGAACAGGATGTTAATGTCAGATGGTCCAGCTTTGTTAATACTCAACATCGTCACTTCTTCCATTCGTAATTGTCTCTGGCCATCATCTAGACTCAACGGTCTTCATCTCTTCCTCCGCCTCATGCCCTTTTTACAGGATGAGGACAAGGTCGATCGTATCATTCCTTTCGCCGTCGAACTGCTCTCCGATGACGTGGCTATCGTTCGAGCCGAAGCATGTCGCACAATTGTCAAAGTCGTCAGTTTGAGGATCCTTCCAATGCGCATGACTGACCTTCGCAGATCGATTCCGTCACTTCTATTACTCTACAAAATGCCACTTTTATCCCTGAATACCTGTTGCCCAACATGCGTCATCTCGCCATCGATTCCGATGTGTTCGTCCGTTCCACATATTCCAAGGCACTAGTGCGCTTGGCAAGCGCTGCCATGCGAATGCTTGAGCTTGGTCAGTCGATGAAATTGAGTCACCCAGCCTCGGACTCGTCGATCACTGGCGACCCGGACTATGACTCGATGATCACGGACATACAGTCTATCGTGGAAGAACAAGCCATCACTCTCCTCGTCGACCCAGCTTCCAGCGTCAAACGATCAATGCTTTCGTCCATTGCCGATCTCTGCTTGTTCTTCGGTAGACAGAAATCGAGCGAAGCCGTGTTGAGCCACATCATGACCTATCTCAATGACCGTGATTGGCACCTCCGTTTGGGATTTTTTGACTGTATCGTAGGTGTCGGGGCTTTCATCGGAATACGGGCCATAGAGGAGTATGTTTTACCTTTGATGTCGCAAGCTCTAGCTGGTGAGTTTTTCTGTACAAACAACAGTAGGCAGTGGCTGAAGCGCAGATCCTGAAGAGGCAGTAGTGACTGCAGTCATCGTCTCTCTCACCAGTTTGAGTTCCCTGGGTTTACTCACTAGAGTAAAGCTCTGGGATATCTGCGGCACAATCCGGGGTTTTTTGGTTCACCCGAATGCCTGGATACGGCAAGGTGAGCTTCTTGGAATGACGGAGGGGTCGACGGAGTCTAACAACGAAGGTACCGTGGGCTTCATAGCGGCTGCTGCACGCAACCTACCTCCTTCAGATGTGTGGTATATGTTTTACCCTGCCGTGAGGACAATGCTTCAGACCGATGTTCTTGAGCTCGACGTCGAGTCCATCTTGGCCGCTCTCGTACCCCCAGTGAGTCCAAAGAATTTCATCCGGATCGAATCTGATTCTCAGTTATCACGCGCCTCGCTTCAAGCGGCTAGGCATGCTGCATTGCATGGTTCTACTCCGGGACTTACGGACAGCTTGTCTACGAAGAGCAGTGGCAAATCTAATAAGAAGGCTGAAGTGTGAGTGAAATTTGGTATCGTCGTGACCTTCTGACGGTATAGGTTGACTCTGAAGGATAGGTCCATCCCACTCGCAGACCAAGAAAAGATTCGCGCTATGAGTGATTTCCTTGTCAAACAGGCCCGGGCAGCTCAAGCGTACGTCACCTGGCTTCGTCTTTCCTGAGTATATAGTATGCTGACATATAGACGAGAATCAGTAACCCAAGATTCTCCTCCTGAGACTGCTCTCACGGCATCCGAATCCATCTCCCTCACCGAACTAGGCCTTACCTTACAAACCGTCTTCATTAGTCCACGCACTGTTGGCGTGGATGCCAAGTCCGACTTGAAACGTCTACGACCTTTGCTCGCCGATACAACCAGTGCGCGAACTTCTTTTGTGAGCCGTAGTAATCGTGCGGGGGAAAATCCTTTGGATGAAATTCGAAAACGTCTTGCTTCCCTTGAACCTCCTTCACGTGTACCAGAATCAGTTCTCTCCACACCCAGTATGCCCGCTCCTGAACCTAGTCCATCGGAATCTACGCTGTCCTCCACATTGGACCTCACTATCATGCCACGGACATCCCGAAAGAAAGCGGATACAAAGGCAGCAGCTGCCGTCGCTGCTGTACACACGACAGCCGTAGGCACTACCTCGATTCATGACGATCCTCTTACTATCACCTCTGGACGAAGTACTCCGACTATCGGAGCCCAACCAATGGTACCGCGAGATGCCATAGGACCGTACGCCAGCTCCTATGAAGGTCACGACCCCGGAGTCAAAGCCTTCCTCGAGCAGATCGATCTGGACAATTATCGTCAGCCCCTATTAGATTTCGGTCCTCGAATAGCGTCTGGTAGTCGACGACGCACACGTGCCAAGTCAACCACCTCACAAGGCGTCACCATGATCGCACATCTTACACAACATATAGGAACGATCACCAGTATTGTTACTTCACCAGACCATGTCTTCTTCGCGACGGCATCAGAGGATTCACAAATCTTGATTTGGGACTCTGCGAGGTTGGAACGACATGTCAGTGCCAAACCACGTTTGGCATATAAGATGGACGCCCCTGTCTCGGCCATGTGTAGAATTGAGAACACCCATTGCTTGGCAGCGGCGGCAGAAGATGGTCAGTTGCATGTACTTAGGGTGCATGTAGCACATTCCGCCGGCTCCACGAAATATGGAAAGATTGAATGTGTTCGGACTTGGAGAGGTGATGATAGCGATGGGTTCGTCACTCATATCGCCCACATACAAGGTGAGTTCTTCCTCGTTTGTACTGAATGCAAATTGATGGAAGATTCATCCTTACTGTTGGTCACTTCCACCTCCTTTTTGGCCCGTTTGGACATTCGCACCATGGAAATCACCACACGTCTCCAACATCCCCTTCAATTCGGTGCCATCTCCGCCATCTGTCCCTTGCAGCATTATATCGTACTCGGTACCATGTCTGGTATCCTCTCATTGTGGGATCTGCGTTTTGGACTCTTGATCAAATCATGGCCTTCTTCTGGCTCAGTCCAGTCTATGGCGATTCATCCATCTAAAGGCGGTGGTAAATGGATTATGGTCTCGTGCTCTCGTAACAAAACGGACGAACCCATCGTGGAGACGCATGACCTCGAGACGTGCAAAGTGGTTGAAGTGTATCAAGTACGGAATTCCAAGCAAGCACCTGTCAACTCTCCCAGGGAGACCTCAGAAGAATGGAGAGTACCTAACAAGACGGAGCTAGTGTCGACTTTGGCGCAAAGTGATACGCCCTTTGGAACAGGCGAGTGGGACGAAGAGAAGCCGTCTCAAGTGTTGGCATTGTTAGCTGGTCAAGGGATGGTCGGTCTGCCTGCAAGGGACGAAGATGGTTTACCTGTTCCTTCGGGGAATATGGGATATTTAGTCACGGCTGGTGACGATAGGATTGTGAGGTATTGGGATTTACTTCGCCCCAACGAAGGTTTTGTGATTTGTGGATCAGCAAAGGAGAAAGAGGCCTTGTTCAAGTGAGTGTTTCTTCGATCACCTTCTCCCGCAACATTCTATTCTTTCATGTTCTTAACCACAAGATATAGGCAATCGACTGATTTTCTAGACAAGTGACACATACACCTGCACCAGCAATATATTTCACACATCCTAGCTCGAATCGTCAGCCATCCGATCGGCATGCTGTCCTTACCCATCGTCAGCCTCTTCGTCCTCACTACGATGCCATTTGCGCTCTAGGAGCTGTCGAAACGTCTTTCTCTAGTTGTGTCATCACTGGTGACAGAAGTGGTCTGATCAAAGTCTGGCGTTTGGAAGGAGGACCAAAGACGTGAGACGGTGTTCCATATGATTACAATTCATCTTACACTCGATATCTCATCGGATCATCATCATCATTTTTCTTCTTTGTTGTACAACTCATCTCATCGGGTTTTGATGCATCATGGTATTCACTCGCCCATTGCCGCGACGGTAGATTGGATCTTGGCTTCCATGCCGCGCCACTATGAGTCAGTCCAGTAGCTTCTTTGCAGAGAGAGGACAATGGGAGACGTACTTTCATACGACATGCGTTACTCCCTTTACCCATTTCGGTTTCTATCATCTTCCAATCTGTCTTAGTCTGGTGATTAGTCGAGAGTCTTTCTTTTTCTTTTTCTCAACTTTATCTCTCACATGTCACTTAATGATGACTACATATGTCTTTGCTGTCACCATGCCCAACATTTCTTCACATAACTTATACATCCAAATCCCAGATTCCAGAGACTTGGTTTGTGAGTCAACAGAGAAGGCTGACGTGAACGATCAAGCTTGACCAATCAAACGTCACTTCCCTGGTGATATACGTCAATACACATGATATTGGTCAAGTGTACTCAGAAGAGGTGAGAGAGAAGAGACCACTCACAGGTCGAGGGTTAATCAAATTGTACAACTTGACCACATCTTCTTTAGTCCATATCTCCCTGTCTGTCTTTCCTCCACGGGGTTTCTTTGCCTTCGGGGAAGGAGAAGGGGAGGAAGAATGTGATCGTTTAACGGATTTGACAGGGGCCATAGTATCTCACTGTATTTCTTTCTGTTTCGAGTTGGGTGTAGATTTGTGTATTGATGTTTGATTCTTTGAGAAGATTAAGAAGGATGAGATGGTGATGGTGAGCATTGCTTGTTGGCCGCTAGGTGCTGAGTATTGGTTGCTTGACGACGGAAGGGTGAGGGGATGTACAACATGACGTTGACCCTAGAAACACGGATCATACTGTACATACCCCTGGTTATTCGTGGTGTCATCCCCTGCCGATCAAGTGTGTTTGAATCTTTAGATGGTGTAAGATCCTCAGAGCGTGAAGAAGATGACGTAAGCGTAATAAGTTCCATGGATAACTTGAGGTTGTTAGAAGAGAAACAGACCAAAAGACCAGTAGACCAGATACATGTTACCACTTTCAAGATCTAGCAGCTTTCAATTGATCCCCAAACCAAAATACCATAGATTTAACATCACCACCAATCATAACGAAATCGAATTTCTTTTTCGCCTCTTTTGCTTGTTCACCAGTATTAACCAATATTCCAGTCAATTTACCAGCTTCACGAGCGGCAGAGATGATGGTATCGATAGCTTGAACGAATTTAGGTTCGTTTGTGGCTGGTGTGTAACCTAAAAGACAGAAAGCTAAGTCATTGGGTCCTATGAAGATCATATCTGCACATTAGTCGGAAATGCTACATGATCCATCTTACCCTCGATCATGGGTACCTCCTCGATCTTCCTCATATTTATCGACTTAGTTTCCAATCTAACTTTCGGGCCGTTTTTGGGGTTTTGGGCAGAGGAGAGACAAGGGGGGAAAGGATGACGAAACACGAATATGGAAGAGAGGTGACTTAAGTATAGGTTGAAGGATGAACACTCACCAACACCTGGAACAGCAGCGATTTCTTTCACATTCTTCAACCCCTCCAAAGTCTCTATTTGTATCATAGTGATCAGCGTATCATTGGCCGATTTGAGATATTCAGGAGTGGTTAAACCATGTGCCGCAGCGGAAAAAGGTGATCCTTGTCCTCGTAAACCCAATGGAGGGAATTTAGATAGTTTAACAACTGATGCGGCTTCTTCAGCAGTGTTGATTTGAGGTACCATGATTCCACTTGAGGGTCAGTATCTTTGCCACTTCCTTATCCCCTGTCGTGTTCATATGACCAACGTGACCGAGTTGTGAAAAGTCATACGAGCACTAGAAAATTCATACAGTGCTCTTCTATTCTTCATACTCCACGCGAGTTACGGGATGGAGAACTCGTAGGGTAAGAAGTCACAACTCACTGAGCACCGGTATCCAGAGCACGCTTGATCAAAGGTCCTTCTGGACCACGAATCCGGACAATGGGAGAACATCCCATAGACGCTATGGCCGCAACGGAAACGTGCATGTCGGAATCACCAATAGCACCTGATCATCAGTTATTACTCCCACCACTCGATCCCTGTATATCCCCCTTGACTATTCATCTACCGTTTACTCTTCCTTGAACATCATGATACTTCTCTCCCTCTAATTCCTGACCCCATTCGTCTCTTTCATTTGACAAGCTTGGAAGGGATCGAAATGATAAGTTAACCCACCATGCTCGCAATCCACCACCACAGCCTATAAAATTAGCTCACGTCCCATCTCTCGACTAACGTACTCACATCCAAGCCCACACCCCCTACAGTTTGTGCTGTCCGGAGACTAGGAAGCATCAAGAACGTCCCGAAGGTCGTTTCGCCCGCCTGGAGCTTTTGACGAAGTTTCAGTGTCGGTTTGGACGTCATTTCTGATGGTTGTCGCTGTATGAAATGCAGAGAGGGGTGTTGGGATGGAAAGGTGATCTGGACAGTGATACTCTGAGTCTGAAATTACATCGGTCCGGTCTGCTTAGCGGGTATGGGTCAGCATTTCGGACGAATAGTCCGACAAGAGAAGTCATCGGTCGAGATGCCGGTTGGGAGCTGGCTCGAGTTCAGTAGGAGCGGAAGCTCCGCGTCCGGTCATCGGACTGTTTTCAGTACATTAGCACTCCAGGTGCTAACCGGGTGGGTGTTCCCTGCAGTTTTTAGGTGTTGGCATGAGTGTGGTGGGTACAGAGTTTGTCACCGTCATAGTATGCATCGTCACCCCTAAAGTCCCGAGATTATTGTCATGAAAAGCACAACGGTGCAATGATTTTGTATGTAGATGGTATGCTGACAGATGGAAATCAAGGATCAATCGATGGGAGACCTCCCCCAAACGGCTCCGAACCCACGGTCTGAAAGGCTTGGTGCCAATCTCCAGTTGTCAAATCCCCCAAAGGATCAAACATGAACTCTAAAGGGTCGAAGAAGAATTGATCCAGTGGATTACTATCCCCTGTGTCCATCTCCGCGGCCTCTTCGAATGTCTGAGCGGGTTGCGACATGCTAGAAGAGTTGAGTGATGAGTCGAGAGTCGGGAGATGTGGTATAGGAGATGGAGGACGGGAAGCCCAAGTGGCACGAGAGGTGATACGTCTTATGATACTTTCTGATACATGCTCAAAAGCATCTCTCAATCCTGTGGTTCCAGGAGTGATTGCTATTTTTCAGTGTCTTTCTTCTCTTCGTCATCGAGGCAAACTTACCTGCAAGGGGTTCCATCACCGCTGTACAGACTTGAACATCTAGTAAAGCGTCCACATAAGATGGTACGATACTATAACCTTTCCTATGGGCTTGCCAGATGGAATTCAGATAAGTGACACCAGCCATAAAAAGTTGATACATGGATAACCAGTCTATGGAGTTAGTCAAAGGTACATTTAGAGAGGGAATATTTAGAGGCTCACTAAAATTGATTCGTCCCGCTCGATACATCTCTTTGTATGTTCGCATGACCCCACTAGCAGCTTTGAGAGCTCGTTTCAACCCTTCTTCATCCGGATCAGGATTCGCAGGGGAAGGTCGATTCAAGATAATGGTGCTCATGTGATAATTGAGGTTGAGCCATTGCGTCGAGCAAAACCCTGTTTCACATGGCGCTGTCTCACGCCAAGTCGTGATTCTTTTACTCATCTCATCGAACCATTCGTGTGGTGGTCGGGGCGAGTTGGGAGTATAGAGTCGATAATAAATCTCAGATTGGAGGATACGAACTTGGAAATGATGTATAGCAGATAATTTGGATGGAGCAAGAGGAGCCTCAGTCCCAGAATTATGGTCGAAAGCGGTGTCATGGCAGGTCATAGGGAACTAGAGGTAAGCTTTGACACTCAAATCACGATTCGACTAACAATTGTATTGATCCATGCGTCAGGAAGACTCAATGGTCGACCTAGGGCAATGGTGAGATTACGATCGATACAGTATGCACTGATATTAGCTTTTTAATATACAATAAAACTCACGTCCAGAACAGCCTTCGGCGGAGATCTTGTTCTATAGGACTACGTTCGTTTCTTCGTCGATGTTGAGACTCCCGATGAAGCGCAAGGTCAACTGCTATACGAATCGCCCCTCCTGCCAGTTCCCATACATCTTGGATGATGTTAGCTGGGGAGAGATAGTTTGAAGATGTTCACTCACTTCCAGCCGATGGGTTATAGAGCACATATTGGAGGTGGATGAGCTTGACTTGAAGTCGTCGTACACCTGGAGCTCGCAGGGCAACTTCCATGTGCTATGCATCAGACGGCTTCATTATCAAGGGAATGAACGCACAGGAAGTACCAGCTTGTGAAAGACTGAAGATCAGCTTACGATCGACCACCAAGGACTAGAGACTGACCATCTGCTTGAGGCTTCAGGTGAATGAGAGGTGAGCTTCTTGGTATTGAAGTCGCTGCCACCGCCAGGACAACTGAGAATCAGCACATCTTCGGATCAGGGGAATGCTGCACAGACTCACGAAAGACCATGCAAATATCAACAGGTCCACAATCATTTCCTCCGAAACACACCTCCTGTACCTGCCGCTCTAACGTAGGCAGATAAAAAATGGGAAAGGCGGCAAGGGTGTAGAACTCGAAATGTTTCAAGAGCCCGTTGATTTCATCTCTAGATGGGAGCACCTCCCTGTTCACTGCATTTCTTGGTATGTCCTCTCCCTCTGAGACATGATGAGGCTCGGAGATGATATTCGTAAGTTCATGTCCCGTTGGAAACGTGTCCAGAAGCTGAGCATTGGAAGGAAGATATTGCGCTGGCGGAGGACGCAACTGACCACTACCAGGAGGTGAGATTGTCGATGTCGTTGCGGGAGCTTCTAAAGGTCCAAACGGACTAGGTGAAGTATTGGTCCTCTCGTAAGAAGTGCTGGCTATTTGTGCGAATTGGCTAAATGGTGAGGAAGAAGTCAATTGGGCATGACCTTGGGAAGTCATTTGACGTTCGTACTGTCTGATTCGCTCCTCCAATTCGGTGATGTAACTGCCGGTCAGCTTGAGGTGGATTCCACAGGCTCAAGTGGACCAACCTCGAATTAGCAGACACAGACTGGTACTCGCATGATTGCTTCAATTTCGAACATCTTGCGCATGCTGGGCGCTCGCCGTTGCACTGTTGTCAAATTGTGATCTCCAGACTGACGGATATTGACGGGTCAGATTGAGGCGACTCACACGTATCTTTCTCGCTCGACATCCTTCACAAGCTGAACGAGGAACGGTCATCCGTGAACGTCTCCTCGCAGAGTCACCGTCAACTGTCGCGCCTCGCCGGGGTGAGCTTGACCTATCCCGGGTCCCCATGGGCGAAGCTGGAGCTTCCATCGTGAACGCGGACTAGACGGAGGGAGTGAAAAGAGTGGGGGACGGAGGTGAAGTTGATGATGACGGTGGTTCCGATAGTCGAGCTGACATTTTATTTCGGAAATCGAACGGCATTCGATTCCGACCGGTCAGGGCCGGAGAGCCGGTCCTATCCAACTGTGGATTTGGAAGCGATAGGTCAGGATCTATCCTCCACTTGTTACTACTTTGAGCTTTTGAAAGCGACTGTGGAAGAGTGAGTTCAGAGGTAATCCTTGAGTTCAGAGCTCATACGTTAGACGTGATGACTACCTCGTCGAAAAGTATCCCGGAGAACGGTTGGGATACCCATTGTCATGTCTTCGATCCTATCCGTCATCCGTACATTTCCAACACACCTTATCGCCCTCCTGCACGTACCGTCAATGACCTACAAAACGCCTCTCTCACTCGAAACGTGGTCATAGTCATGGCTCTCCCCGAAGGTACCAACCCTGCCCATACTGTAGAAGCGATCGCCGCGTTCAAGGCAGCCGGAAGGGATGCTAGGGGGACGGTCGTATTGGATTTGCATCAGATGGATGTGGATAACCTCAAAGCTTTGGATGCTGCAGGGATCCGGTCCGTTCGACTTCATCAAACTCGCTTAGGTGAAGGAGGTGATCTGGGGGGAATGATGGCGGCTATGTGTGATAAGTTTGCTATTGCAGGAGTGAAATGGAGTTTGGACGCTCAATTGAGTCTTGCTACTTGGGTACGATTATCACCTGTCCTACGTAACCTTCATAACAAATACGGGACGGTATTCGTCATTGACCACATGGCATGTTGTCATCCTTCCGATGTCGACTCCCCCGACTTTTCGCACCTGCTCGATTTATTACGAGAGGGTGTGGTGTATATCAAGATCTCCGCTATGGATAGATATCGTGCCGACGGTCCAGTGGAAGCTTTCGAATCTCTCATTAGACAATTGGTGGAAACGCGTTGGGGAGAAGGATTGTTGTTTGGAAGCGATTGGCCGCATACGGTGACAGAAGGTGAAGTGGAAGACCTGCCAAAGGTGGATCTTGGACCTCATATACGTCTAATCAAAAGTGTTTGTGACAGTGTGGGTCAAGGTCTTTGGGAAAAGGTTTGGCAAAGTAATGCTGCAGATTTGTACAAATGATCGAGGATGCATCTCGTTTACAAGCCTATCATGAGGTACGAAAAAGACATCAAATCAAAGGACGTTAAACATGATGGTAGACTAGACGACTCGGTCACGAAGGGGTTTACCTTCGAACGCTTCCACTAAATGTTCCACCATACTCAAACAAGTCTCCTGTTGAACTGCAGCTGGTGTCGCACCGAAATGAGGTCTGATAATGTTCAGCCTCATTCTCACTCATAGACAAAGGACTCACGTCAAGACAACATTGTCGAGCTCGCAGAATCCTCGATACTTTTCCAACGACGGAGGTTCGTCTACGAACGCGTCCAAACCGGCACCATAGATCTTTCCTTCCCGAAGGACTTTTTCGAGTGCCGGTTCGTTGATCACACCTCCTCGAGCGGTATTGAGAATGATAGCAGTAGACTTCATGAGACCAAGTTCACGAGTTGAAATGATGTCGCGGGTATGATTGTTGAGAGGACAATGCACACTGACAATGTTGGATTTACCCAGAAGATCATCGAGTGTCACGAATTTGACCTGTTCGGAAGGGATGACGGCGGTCCATTTGGCCTTCTGGTCGGCAGCGATGACGGGATCATATACTAGGATGGAGCCTCGGAAAGCGGCATTGAACATTTCAGCAAAAGCCAAACCTATGTTTCCCCCGCCTTTACTCAGCAACAGCTTGTGCGAATAAAGTGTGAGTTACTCACCTATTATTCCCAGAGTGCGTCCACGGATGAGCTGACCTTCCCAGCCCATAAGTTTGTTCACTTTATCCCCTCGTCTAATCCTTCGATCTACTGTCGTCGCAGACCGAGCAACACTCTTCGTCAGTCTTTAACCCGCGCGATGTCGACTTCTCCTTGACACTCACTCCATCAACAACGTCAAAGCCATTTCAGCAACAGCAGTAGCCTGAAACTTAGCTCGTAGATCGCGATCGTAGGCCTAGTGACATAGAGCGTAACTCACGTTGATCCCGGGCGTGTTCATCAGGGGAATTTCCGCTGCTTTTAGACTTGGTAAGTCGAAATTGTCCACTCCTACACCTTGCTTGGCGATATACCTGATCTTATGTGCCTTGAGTACCTCCACGTCTTCAGGTGTGACCATAGCGTTCCTCGCCAACAATCCTTCCGCTTTCTCGCGCCATTCGTGGAATCCTTCGTCGTCTGGAAGTACCAGATCGAATTTCTCACGAGCGAGCTCCAGTGCTTGCGAGTGTAGTGGTTCGAGGGTATATACCCTTGGCTTGGCTTTGACGGCAACAGGCATGGTATTGTTGGACAGCTGAAGGAATGAAAACGAGGAGATATCTCCTTAGCTTGTAGGTCGCACGCTGACTTATCATACTTCTCACTCATACCTACGACTTCAGAACGACTTGACAATATCTGATCGCGCGACGGACCTGGGTTCCGAAGCTCCGAAGTATCGAGTGGAAGAAGATGAAGCCACCACCGTCATGGCGGATGCTCCGCTACCCCCGCCCATGTCCGGCGTGGGGAAGATACGGGGTTAGCCCCGGGCGATAGGGGAGAGAGGGTGCCCCGCGGGGTCCTCCGAATTTCTGATGGGACCTGAGAATGTCCTAAATCTCCAATCTCGACCGCGTCCCATTCAACTTTGCTCATATGTTATATATATCTCTTCCATCCACATGAGTCCCTGTTTCCCCCAGTACCTCCCACGTCGTTTTCGAACCCACTGCCTCTCTCGGAAGTCCAACATTCCTCAACCACCCTCTTCGACATCCTTCACCCTCATATCCTTCGGCAACCCCGCTTATTGACCACGATGGCTTCTGAAATACCCTTAGACATAGAGGAGAAGGTCGAAGTGACTCATGTCGAGAGTAAATCAGACATAGACGGTATTGATTGGACACACTATGGCGATGATCCCGATACTATCGAAGCCTATAAGACTATAATGTCTTGGTCTCCTGAAGAGAGGGCTCAACAAGAGAAACGACTTGTTCGCAAGCTAGATGTCATTGTCATGGCCATGGCAGTGCTTATGTACATATTAAACTATCGTAAGACATGTTCATCTTATACACTGTACGTACTAACCGCTCTAGTCGATAGGAACAGCATCGCTCAGGCGCGTGTCTCTGGCCTTACGGAGTCCACACACATCACGCCTAATCAGTACAGTTTGGTCAATGGTATCTTCTGTGAGCTGGCTACTTTTGTTCCGAGAAGCTGGCTGAATCTCAGATATCTCCTGTGCGTTTAAATTTCCCGGTTGGTTGTATGTGTGTCGACTGACTGTCAGATATTCTGGCGCAAACCCCTGCCAATATGATCCTCTCGAAATCCAGACCTTCCGTCTTTTTGGTACGCTTCATTCTTCTTTTCCTCACCCCCTCATCACTGGCATTCTCCTCCACCTTCTGAGACCAGATCCGACTGACATACAGCCTGTCTCTATGTGCGCCTGGGCACTTATCTCCACGTGTACCGCAGCGACTAAAAGCTTCGGTACCCTGCTCGCCGTTCGTTTCATTCTCGGTTTCGCCGAAGCCCCATTCTTTCCTGGAGCCGCTTACTGGTTAACTTGTTGGTCAGTACTCAATCTCTCTCCATTGGTTAGCACTGACGGTACAGGTATACCAAGGCCGAGATCGGACGAAGATACGCCATCTACGTGGGAGGGATTTGTATCAGTTCGGCCTTTGCCGGTCTGATTTCCGCTGGTATCATCAGTAACCTCGATGGAAAACAAGGTATAGCGGGATGGCAGTGGTGAGTCCTCTGCTTCTCTACACTCAGTCAGGTACCCTCCCACTTTATTTTCAAGTCTATTAGAAGACAGAAGCATGAGGACGTCAGCAGTCGAGCCACCATCATTCTCCTTCCGGCTGACCTTCAGGATTTTCATCATCGAGGGAACCATCACCGTCGCCGTCGCCATCTTCGTCTCTTTCTTCATACCCGACTACCCACAAACAGCACGGCGGTTCAAGCCCATCGAAAGGGTGCTCGCACGCATGCGAATAGACAGCGACGGTGGCCCATCCGACATCGGGGGCGAGCCAACCATGTTCCAAGGCTTCATCCTCGCCGTCAAGGATTATCGGACCTGGTGCCTCGGGACCTTGCAGCTCTGCATCACGAACATGATAGGATTTAACTTTTTCTATCCAACTCTAATGGGATTATCGTCTCTTCTCTCCTCCCCGTCCAACAACAAATGATGTCCGAAGACGCGGACGAAAAAAGTGGTGCAAAGGAGGGGCGGAATGTGGGAATCATCAGATGATGGAGGTGACGATCAAGGGACTTTGCTGATGATCAGACAGGGTATGGGCTACAAGAACAAGATCACCATTCTCCTCCTGTCAGCTCCACCGTACATGGTAGCTCTCCTCTTCTCATTCTGTGAGTCACGTTTCAAAAGAGTGACCCCATCCTCCTCCTCGAAATTGTCCGTGCGTCAACTCATCCGGTGTTTCGCCTCTCCATTGTCGGGTGCCACATATATCATTTCTCCTCTCACCAAGCCTGTGGACAGAGGGTTGTGTACCCTGTCAACCTCTGCGGCGAGATGTAGCCCCGAGGAATTTTCACAGTGGGGACGGAGAAGACTGACAGACAGGCATGGGTGTTTCAGCAGATATCACTCGGAAACGTGTGTTACATTGGGAAATCTCTTTCGCCGTTACTGCTGTCGCTCTTATATTGCTTATCGCTCTGGCTAAAGTTGATTCTCCTGGAGGACGTTATGCTTCTACTTATATTCTGGCCATGGGTTCATTGTGAGATCATCCCTTTCTCCTCCTCTCTCCTCTCTCCTCTGTGCCCCTGTCCCCCTTTTTTCATAAGACGTCGTCATACATTCGCCCCTTCCCTCCAGACTTATATCTCACATCCTCTACGTCCCTCCGCACGTCCAAATGACACAATAAAGAAATGAATGACATGAAACGGTGAAAATGTCTGGTTTCGATAAGAATCCATAAGATGACATTGACAGCGCCGCATATTCCGTCGCATACCCTTGGGTCGGTTCACTCATGCCACGTCCAATGACCAAAAGAGCTTCAGCTATAGGAATAGCCAATTCTCTATCGAATGTCGGAGCTTTCCTTTCGTCTTACGTCTTTTATGCGGAGTTAGGACCGACTTATAGGACTTCTTGGTGTATCGTCCTTGGTATGACCGCTTATAGCGCAGCTATGGTTTGGTTCCTCGGTTGGCAGAATAAGAAACGGAATGCAGAGTGAGTGTAGTGTGTGGTGTTTCGTCTCCAATCCACTCACACTCATTGCTTTCCTCCTCTCATGTCCCCTTTTCAGCGTCCTATCTCTAATCTCTCTGAACATCTCTTATTCCTTCAACAGAGCCTTTTTCTCTTCCCTTATCTCTACCCTACAACAACCTCTACTCTTTTCATCAATGTCTATCCCTCACATCGATCCCTCTTACCCCTACCAGCCAATCTTTCAGCCCCAGTCTGTCCTTATCCCTTCCCGACATCTTCAGATCCGCGTTCTTTCCTAGACCTGTCATTTTAGATCTGTGCTTGTGTCCGAACGACTCTTCAATAGCGTTCATCGTATTCTACTTCAGTCCTTCGTATCCTTACTCATGTCAGACTCGACGTGATCGAAGAACAATATAGAACCGGTGAAATCGATTCGGTGACACTTGCTACCATGCCCGTCGACGCTCAATTGGCAGCTAGAACAGGATGGAGAATGAGTAATTGATTCAACCTTCATAACTCCTTGGAAGCGAGGTAAAAAGAAAGTCAGATGTGTAGTGTATGATCTATTGTCAGAGTGAAGGAAACGGTCAAATATCTTGGTTATTAGGTAGTTCGTTATGAAAATGCTATGCCATGTCCTTGTGTAAGCCCTTCTATCAGCCATGACTTATCACAAGAGATGTCCATATCAGTATGTTCTTCATTGGACTCGCAGGTTCAGTACTGTAAGTACACCACTTGTACCCGTACTCCCTTCAACATGCGTATCTCCGGCGAACAGATTCGTCTTTCAAATGCATGCGAAAATGAAGGTAAGTGAAGACATGTAAGTAACTCACAAATAAAGATACAATATGACGAAATGCTAAATTGATACTATTACTCCTCCCTCACTTTCCCCGCCGTAGGATCAGAATCCACAGGATAAAACACTTCCTCATACTTCCTATCAACCACCACAACCCTTTCCATTCTTCCTTTCCCATCTTTCGTCCCTACCGCTACAGCGACCATTCTACCATCCTCTGCCACATCCCATTTCACAGGTCCTATAGGCCATGATCTCCCTTCTTTAGCTCTTTCGGCACCTTCGGCCCATTGCAGATGTTCTAACATTACCGGATCTAACGAAGGAAGGTCACCGAAAGACCATTGAAGTTGACCGCCATATTTGACAGGAATGTGTTGAGGATCGATATATTCTGAAAGTGTGGAGAGAACGTCATTAGGACCACAAATGTGCATTTTAGCAACGACGATAGGGTCAAACCATCTCTTAACCCAGGACCAAATGGTGGAGAAGAAACCTGGAGCTCCTATTATCTAAATGTCAGCGCGTTCTTTATCTTCTTCTCCTGAATGCGACGCTATCTGACATGCTCAAGGATGGTTAGGCGTGAGATGAGTGCGAGTGTTTCGCTGTAGGTCACGAGAAGAGAAGGTCAGGAATGACTATTGGCTATGGTATGGGGAAAGGAGGTGACTCACAAATATCTTATCCAAGGTTTCAGGATAATGAGCAGTAGCTAATTGACTAGAATCTTGTAAATGATTTCGTAGAGCCCAAAATTGTCGCAAACTAACACTACTGACATCGATGATATTGTTCCCTTGAGTGATGGGTGTCTCTGGATTCGGTCTACGTGAAGCGGTACAGAAAGGAGCTACGAATCGAGTGAGGGATTCGTATAGAGCAAAAAGACGTAACATTTTAGGAGGAGCTGGTCGATCGTCCGTATCTGCACCTCTGGGAGTTAGCTGGGACATGCTGCTAAATGTACCCGATCCGATGATGACTCGATACTCAAACAATGGTGAATAAGGAGATGGCAGGAATTTTATGGATAGATAGGTAGTAAAGAGAGACTTACTTGAGTGACTTTGCTCTTTCGTAATCTGCAACTCCCTTCACGTCCAAAGGTGCAACTTCGAATACGTACAGAGGGAAACCTCTTTTATCACGTCTACCTGTCCATTGGGGATACTAGAGATCAGTTTTACTTTTGGTCTCAAGATGCCTAAGATGTCTATCCAAGGTATGTGATAGTACAATATTGTCTTGGAGAAAAGATTATGCGAGAAAAACGATGAAGACAAACTCACCAATCTACGTGTTTCCTCATACTCATCCACGTCAATAGTCTCAAATAATTCCACTAAGCGATTTTCTTTCCTCCATTTCTCCGTACTAGCAAATTGTTCATAAGCAGGTTGTATTTGAAACTTTCTCGCTCTCAAATACCTTCTAGAAGGTCGTCAGCTCTCAGTGTATATATCGATGATGTCATCTTGAACGTGTTTCATCGTAACTCTCGCCACTGCAATGACTAGATATCAGATCTTGGAAGTGAACAGTGGATAATGAGAGAATCAACATACAACAAAGTGGCATCGTCATGCGAAGGAGGGATGTCAGTAGTAGCTGGACGATAGATGCCCTTCTCCACACAAAGTTGCTTGAAGGCGGAGAAGGATTGACGTTGATCGGGTGAAAGATGACCGAGATGACCATCTGGGTAATGGAATGGGATGACTGGACTCATTTCGTTTCTATTTTACTGAGAGCGTCCTCAGATCTTTGTTGCCTTATTGAGCGAGAAGCATAGGAGTGATCGGAGTGAGGAGAAGAAGTGAGAAGAGTCAGAGTGACCCTATCTCACAAGCCAGAGGATGCACGTGACCAAACACCGTACGCGGTCATCGGTCAACCGGTGATCGGTGGTGATGGTGATGGTGTCTGGATCATAGGAAGGACCACAAGGATGGTGTCCTTTAAGTAGTTCACCTGGTCTGCTACAAGTGTAACCTCACACTGAATTGTGTTCTTTGCATCTCTTGTCACTCTACAAAAAGCTCTGTTCATATCGTCGAATACTCAATCTCCCAATGAATTGATGAACGCTTCCAATTTAGGGAACATGTCATATCTCCACTCTCTCGTCAGCCTCGTTCTCATCCCATAGCGGGTACAGGAGCTCACCTTGTTGGAGCAAGACTGACATATCAGCGATATCCTCAGTCGTAATCAAATGAGAGACTCACCAACTTGTCTCGACCGGGCACCTTGTCAGCCACTTCGTCCCATTTGACCTTTGGCTATGTGTCAGCCTGACCATCGCACCTCTTCCCCCACCTCGTCATGTTCGGGCCAAGGGCGTCTACTGAAGGAAAAGGTTAGTGGGAACGATGAGTAAGTGACAGAGGAAATCTGTCGATTCGACATACCGGTGTTAAACCCAAAGCATCCCACAATTGTCTAACCTCAGCTTTGGTCCAAGCCCCCATTTTACGTCCTGTCACTCCACCCCTATCTTCTTTCGTAGGTGCCCCTCGTTTCTTAACAGGTGATCCCTTCTCCTCGCTGGTCGGAGCGGAGCGCTTGATACCTCGTTTGTTATCGTCACTTGTCGGTCGTTTAGTACTTTTAACCTTCTGGGGAGTGGTCTTGGGAGAAGGTAGATAAGTCGATCCTCCTCCAGAAGAAAGAGAAGGGGAGTAATCCCGAGGTTTGAGCTCTGGGTCAATGTCGACGTCAATGTCGGACATGGTTTGTAAATGATTTTGGTTAGCTGAAGGAAGAACCTGTGTCATGAAAAGGTCAGCAAAGAAATGAAAGAAAGTGAAGGCGTCTAACACATCCGTCAGACCACGGCATGTTGATGGTCGTCAGGTACTCGCGAGTACAAGTAAGCTTAACCTGACGACGCTAAGTACAGTAGGATAAGACTGCGGCCTCAAAGGCGCAGACGGGCGCAGATCTCGACTGACTGGGTATGCTTTGTAGTCATGTCCATGGATATGTTCCCGTGAATGGTGAGTACCTGAGATGCATACCCTGGCAGTGGCAGCATGGCAGCACAGGAGGGGGAAGACGCTTAAGACGAGTCAAGATTGAAAGGGAAGAAAGGGGTCCCGTTTGAATTGTAAGTAAGTAGGAATCAATCTCTTACGTACCAAAGGGCGCATGTTGACACCATCTCTCTCCATCTCATTCTCCTCTGCCTTTCCTCTTTGACCTTCCACTGGCCACTCATGACTTAAATAAAATCATCATTATCCGTTTGTTATTCCATCACTTGACCAGCCATATATTTGTTGCTACGCTGGAAAAGGTCCGAGGTACGGCACAAAAGGTCAAATTGAATCAAGCACAGCAATTTCACGGCATTCCATTCGACCACTTATCTTAGGTTCCCCTTCCATCTCTCATTCCTCCTCATCTTCACCATCCTTCGTCCATCCTCAAGTCCTTTTCGATCGGATCCAAGCTGAAAAAAGTACGAGATGAGTCTTCCTGGAGTCACTTTAGCCCCTCCTATGCAGTCTAGACAGGGACAGTTGGGTAGGATGAGATCGGCTACGGACATAGCTGGTGTCAAGGGTATCAACTCGCCTCTAACCGCTTTACGAATACAACCAGACCTACTACCTGTGAGATTACTCCCATTTCACACACGAACATTGGTGTCTTCGTCTTCGCCGCAAGTCATAACGCGTCAAATTGCTGTATATATCAAGCAGTCAAGGACGGCAAGCTGCAGTAGCTGACATCCAGTATGAATCCACCTCTCGGTCCACTGGCACCAACAACACGTACAGCAGCAGCAATAACTCAACGTCTCAATCTGGCAGTCATGTTCCCCCTGTACCAAGTCTCGACTTTGACATGTTCCGTCGTTCAGCTTCTCGTTATTCTATCGACTCGATGTCTTCCCTCTCTACCATTTCTCAACTTGATATGGACGATGACGATAATGATGATGATGATGATGACAAGACGGAAGGTGCCACCACACCTAGAGCCACTCGTTTCCATCAAGCTGGCTACTTTGAGGGTCCTTCGGATAAAACAGCACTCACCTCTCAAGCAGGTCCAAGTGATGTAAATAGACAACTCACTCCAAAACGTAGTTTCGTCATTACTTCCCGACCAGCTCCTCCTCCTCCCTCTAGACCACTCCAGCCTTCTACCTCGAACAACACTCTACGTCCCGTTCCTGGTCGGAATCGTGCTAATTCTCGGCCTGAAACTAAAGACGTACCAACGGGTCTCCCTCAGACGGGAGTGGTCATGATGGACACGAGTAGCGTTCATGGGGAACAAGGAGATGAGTGGGGAGAAGATGAAGCAAATTTTGAATGGCTTGATGCGGACGCTCCAGAAGCGATAAATGGAACAGGGGATGAAAAGGTATCTCCGTCTAAAAAGCTTCTCCGTCTCAAGAGTGCTATGGGTCGACCGACAGAAGGGAGGAGATTGAAGAAACCTCTCGTATTTGCTCGAAGGGCTCCACCACCACCTTTAGAGCTAGGTAGCGAGGCTCAAAGTCTACCATCCAGAGGAAGGAGTAGATCGGTATCAAAACCTACCTCTCCTGTACAGAATCCTAACCTCACCGGACAAACATATATCTCTCATCCGACTGTTCTGCAACCACGAAAGTCCAACTTACAACCATCGCAAATATCTCAGAAAATAACAGGCGATCTCAGACCTCCATTGACTTTGAGACACACTTCGGACGGTTCACCCAATCGTTCAGGATCTAATCCCCGTTCACCGACGTTATCACCTCAAAGACCCACTATGGTAGCTTTGAAAGATGAAGACGATTCCAAACCGAGTGCTAAACTACACGGAGGACAATCACGTAATTCTCAAATGTCATTCCAATCCGTCGCTTACTCTTTTTACGATCTAGGGCCAGATACGTCAGTTTCGCCCAAAATACCAGCATTGATACCATCTCCCAGAGATATCTTTTTTCCTAATGGACGATATCATAAGGTGTCGTTGTCCAAGTTGGAAAGAGAAAAGGAAATGAGGGAAAGGACGATGAGTGAGCCTGTGAAGAGGGGTAATACGGGAAAGACTCCGGATGATTTTGTGGATGAGGGGTTGGCAGCTAGGGAAAGAGGTGATGCGGCCAAGGCGGCTTGGTTCTTTATGAAAGCTGCAGAGGGAGGGAGTACGAGAGGGAGAATACACTGGGGTGGGTCTCAATGTCTAAATCGCTCTCTTCCACTTTTTGATAGAATCACGCCGCAGAACACTTGTGATCCTCGCTTAAGACTCTTCCGATGCTCAAAAGTGGATTAGAGCTGACTGTCTAGGTCTTTGCTTGAAGCACGGGTCAGCTCTTCCGGAAAACAAGGTGCGACGAGCTGATTGATAGATCCGGCGTCGCACTCAACGATAAGCGAGCCATGGCTGAATTGCTTCAAGCAAGTAGCGAGGGGGTCATTTCTACCGACACAGAATTTCAACTCCTTCCTTCTATCCGACAACTAAATCCTAAACCTCGTTCTCTACTTGTGGTGAGTCAATCTTCTAGATCTCCATCAAGGTCTCATGAACTGATGTGGCAGAGAGATCTCGCTACTTGCATGTCTGAAATAGGTTCAGCCTATTTACATGGACAAGGCGTGAAGAAATCCTCTGAAACGGGTATGAAGTACTTGCGGTGTGCTGCTAATCTAGGCGATATTGGGGCTCAAGAACGTAAGTCTGTATCGTTTCTTGGTGAAACAAGTATTGAGTGTCAGAACTAGGATTTTTACTCTCTAGAGGTTCGGGAGGAGTCAAAAAGGACATGTAAGTCACCAGTGTATCGAGAGGATTCGACTGACGGAGGATAGGAAGGAAGCGGCAAAGTGGTACAGAATGGCAGTCGATCAAGGTTCAGGAAGTGTAGGATTAGCATGGATATATAAGGTGAGTTGATGTTTCCGTGTTACCTATCTCGAGATGGTCTACATGGGTTGAGAAGTGAACTTCTCCGTGTCACCTCGTTCGGAATGGTCAATGTGGGTTGCAAGTTGATGGTCCAGGAGAAGTACAATAAATGAGAGGTGAGACAACGATTAGAAGTCTGATATCACGATCACGATGCGTTTAGGATGAATGAAAATATAAGGACCCTTGTGCATATTTGTTGTTGTTTACTGTAGAGTACGAGTAACGTCGATGCTATACGTTCTTGATCCCCTTTCATGCCGCCAGACTGCTCATGCTGTCACCTTGGGTGCCACCTTTCCATCGGTCATCGCCGCTTAACTCTCTCCACCCAAACATCCCATCCAATGTGAAAATCCCCTCAACTCTTTTCACTCACCCTTACGCCTCTCTCCTCTCAGCGTGCTAAACATCCGACCGGCTTCTTCCCTAACACCCCAGCAGGACAACACCCTATAGCCAACAGTACAGTCCGGAACCCGGAACCCAGAACCCAGAAAGTAGAACCCGCGGGACGCGACTGACTTTTCTCTTCCTTCTAACCCCTAAGTTCTCTACTTCTAATCCGCCTTCTCAGGGTTCTGAATGCAATATGATGACATGTTCCAACTCAAAGGTTTTGAGCGTGTACAAAGTACGCCATTCAAGAATCTTACATTTTAGTTCCATACAGACACAGCAAGGGAAATGTTTTTGGTGTTGGTGTTGGTGTTGTTCCGTTCTGATCAACTTTGAAACTAACAAAGTGAAAATCGATTCTTACTACTCTATCGAATTCACTTTTCTTTCTTTAGCTTTTTGATCTTCATTTGGACTGTATTGGAAGATCTTATCACTCTCATTTTTTCTTAGGACAATCACATTCTTTTGTTCATATACAATGTTTTAAGTACGAGGAAGAAAGAAAGAGGAGATACATAGGAACGGTATCGGATTCATCGAGAGGAAAACGACGTAAACAAATCGACAGATAATTCATTCTTTCACTTATACCCATCTCAAATATTGATAATCAAGTCTTTCGGACCTTCGAACGTCCATTCAACTCACATCAAGGAAAGGAACATTTCAGATCAGCGAGATAAATCAGGAAGGAAAAGGCTCAAGGAAGAGAAGTAAATCAAGAAGTGAAAGAAGAAAAGAGGGGAAGAAAAAGAAGCAAATATGACAACTGTCATCTCTCATCCGAGGGAATATCCTCAACCTTCTGGATCAAAATATCATCCTCAACCTCATCATCCACATCAACATCCTTCTCAACAACAGCATTCACATCAACATCATGTTTTGAAGAAAAAGACAAGTTCATCGACCGGAAGAGATGATAAGATGTTGATCGGTCAGTGGAGAATAGGTAGGACTATTGGAAAAGGTTCTTCTGGTTGGTACTTTTTTCCATTTCCTTCCTGAACAATCAACTTCCATATACAACTGGACAATCTTCGGATTTCTTCTTCAGAAATGGGGTTCGTACTCTACCTCAGCCTTATGGCAATGTTAGATGTATCAACAAGGCGGGAGCGAGATTGATGTTAATGCATGAGCTAACATCCAGGCCGAGTCAAAATTGCCAAACATGCCATTACCGGGAAATACGCAGCTATCAAGATCGTTCCTAAGGGAATGATCATCGAATCCCGCATGTCGGTATCTGAAGCTGGTGTGAAGCAAGACAAAGTTTTGTTAGGCATCGAGAGGGAGATCGTGATTATGAAACTTATCGACCATCCTAATGTTTTGAACTTGTATGATGTATGGGAGACTTCTACCGAACTGTGAGTTTACTCTCTATCCCTTTGCACTTAACATGACATGTCTCCCTGCTCTTCACATGTCCATTCATTGTTCAATCCCTCCTTACTCTTACCATGTTCCTCTTCGTTTGTCAGGGTGGTCTGCTTGGTAATTTGGTGGCAAGCTTGGTTTTGATAGGATCAATAATTGACAATCAGATACTTGATCATGGAGTACGTTCCCGGAGGTGAACTTTTCGATTACTTGGTCAAAAGAGGAAGATTGCCAGTCTCTGAAGCTTTACATTACTTCCAACAAATCATCATGGCAGTAGACTACTGTCATCGTTTCAACATTTGTCATCGGGATCTCAAACCGGAAAATTTGTTACTTGACAAAGACAAGAATATCAAAGTTGCCGATTTCGGTATGGCCGCATGGGAAGCAGGAGAAAGAATGTTGGAAACTTCTTGTGGTAGTCCTCATTACGCTTCCCCCGAGATCGTTGCTGTGAGTCTAAGCTGAACTCCACCCACAGTCTAGCTGATCATCTTCAGGGAAAGGCATATCATGGATCTTCAAGCGATATTTGGTCATGTGGTATCATCCTCTTCGCCCTTCTCACCGGTCGACTCCCCTTTGATGATGATAACATTCGATCATTGTTGCAAAAGGTCAAAGTGGGAGTTTTCGAGATGCCCGATGAGATAAAAGATCCCGCCAGAGATTTACTCAGTAGGATGCTTGAGAAAGATCCGGAACAACGAATCACCGTGAGCTGAACGAGTCAATGTCCAGTGGAATCTAGCTCATTCCCCAGATGCCTGATATTCTTGCTCATCCCTTCTTCGTCTCTCGTTCACCTCGACCTATCCCTGGTCGTGCTCTTGTCTCCCCTCCCAGTCTGACGGAAGTCGAGCGCCCTGTAAACTCCCCAGAAGAGATCGACCCTGACATCATGGGAAATCTTAAAACTCTCTGGAGTGGGGCTACAGACGACGAGATTGTGGCTGCTCTCATGAGCAGAGAGAAAACTTGGGAGAAAGCCATCTACCATTTACTCATCAAATACCGTAACAAACATCTGGAAAATTATAACATGGACGATGAAGAAGATGTCGAAGCTCGTGCGAAACGTCAAACTCGTAGACAAGCAGGACCTTCACCTGCTAAACGGAAAGGTGGACCTCCTCCCACCGCCCAAAAACCTCGTCTGGCACCATTAGGAGAGAACGATACGATCCAAGAACGTGTAGCAACTGCTAGACCTCAAGCTCCCACTCCGAAAAAAGCAAGTGGTGTCACGACTGACTCGCCTGCTGTGCCTAAGAAAGGTACAATGGGTCCTCCTCCTCTTCGATCCCCAGCTGGACCTCGTCCCCCTATGTCTAGAGGTAACACTTATACCCCTGGACCTCCATTGGCGCCTGCCATCATGTTACAAGAGGCTACGCCTGTCAAGGAAATGGTACCACCTCCTCTTCCTTCACCGTCACCACGACCAAGATCCGAAATACTTCCTTCTCCTTTGATCCCCGATGCTGCTCAACTGAGTCCGCTGAACGTACCTAGAGTAGGAGATCAGCAATTGCAACACTTCTTCAACGAAGTTGCCAATCAACTCAATACGATGAACATTCGTTCTTCCGTCGGTTCAGGCTCATCTTCCAGCTCAGCTATACTAGGAGCGGATTATCAAACTTATCTCGCTTATGCCAATGGAGCGATAATTCCACCTACTTCCCCTGTTCTTTCATCAAGCACTATGGATCCTAATCAATTTGCCGATGCCGACGATGACGAAACTGTAGCTCCTTCTGTTCATTCTGTTGTCAGTCCATCCCTTCACACTTCTCCAGCTGCGACACTGGTTGGATTAGGTATTGGTGGACCTCCGTCACATAACACTCGTCCAGGTTTACATCCAATGCAAGATCCAAATAATCGATGGAGTTACACATCTTCCAATTCATCTAGAGGAACTCCAGCTACATCTTATATCGAACCTTCTTACACTGGAACCGCTACCTATACCCCAGCACCAATGATTTGGACGGAATCTCCTTTCACTTCACCACCACAACGACCTGCACCTCTTCCTAATCACGTAGTAACAAGATTGGCTCCTACTCGACCACCTCCCCCTGCACCCAGACCACTCACCATGATGTCGAGGGACGAATCTTATGTCGTTTTAGACTCCGCCGAGTCCACTCCATCAGATCCATCGGTCGCTTCTTGGGGTACCAAATCATCTGGTTTCTCAGCGCATCGAGGTCAAGATGGTTTCGGAATGTTGAAACGTAAGAAGAAACCTAGTCCAATTGAGTTAGGTGTAGGATTTACTGCTACCCCTGTATCCTCCCCTATGCCTTCTCTAGGAGTACCTTCACCAACAGGTTTGGGTCCTAGTCCAAAAAGAAGTTGGTTCAATAATCTCTTTTCTTTCAAACCTCCAAGTTGTACATTGTTATCACATGATAACATCGGAGGATCGAGGGAGAAGGCGAAGAAAGTATTGGGAGATATGGGTGTTCAAGTCAATGTTGTGGAAATTGACGGGTTGAGAGCATTACGTTGTAGGTTTGAAGATGTCAAAGGTGAGTTTTTTCCTTCTTCTCAAAAGTACTCGTCAATGCTGATTGAAACAGAAGGAAATGGAACATCTGCAAGAGGTGTGAGGTTTAGGATTGAATTTTCACGTTCGTCTCAGAATACCTCTGGGGGTTATAATACCTTAGTTTCATTGACTTTGGAAAAAGGTGCTCAATCTTCTTTCAAATGTAAGTTCATCTTCCTTCCTATATCCTGCACATGAGAGCTTATGGTGTTAGCGATATTCCAACAACTTAAAGATTCTTTCGAAGGTGTTACACAGACATCTCAAACTCAATCACTCTCTTCTCGTCCACCGGCAAATATCACCCCTATAAGTTCTCAATATACCCAAGGAAGATATGCTATATCAGCACCGAGTACACCTCACGTTTTACCTAGTCCGAGATTGGCAACCACTCAATCAGCCAGCGTTCAACTTCCTTCGGTTATGAGGATGTAACGAATGGATCATCTTCATTAATTTCCATTTCTCATCGTATCACTGCTGTTCTCTTCAATTCCCTTTTACTCTATTCCCCTCGATGTCTGTTGATCCAACGACTTGGTCTCTTGATTCACGCCCCCATCGCTGTGTAGGTTGCAACGATCGTACTTTTGGAAGGGGGGATGTCGAGACTGGACAAATGTCAGATGGGATATGGGGAAAGAGACACGTGTTTTTGAGAGGCGGAGTATAAGGAATAGGACAAACCTGATTTAGGCCCATCATGACATATATCAGATTGCATATATCACGCTTCGAACGTTTCATGTAGGGTAACAATGATTGCATGAATGGTTATGTTATGTTTCAATCTACTGTACATGCCATATCTCTTCTCTCGTTCATCTTTCCTCAATAGTGGTCGAACGGCGATCGCCGCTGAAACACCATCCTCACCTGCTACCTCGCTCTCCTTCGAAGCATCTCTCAACCGCCCCACGGTCATACCGACAACCAGGGCATCTAGTCGGTCATGAGATTGCTTCGTCTCTCTTGTATGAAGTGAGAAAGTAAACTCTTAGTGACACAAACAAATCCTGAAGGAGCGAGGTCAAACGACCATCATCACCCCAACAACATGTCCGTCCCTCGAGCCAGAGAGCCATCTGCGGCTTCTGCGGGAGATGACACAAGACAACATATCATCGATTCTCTCTTCTCCAAAATGGCAGATGATGGAAGTATGGAAGAAACTTTGATTTCTTTCGTCAAAGTGAATGAACAGGATCAAGGAGAATCAAAGGTCAGGTATTTGATGCTGGCAGGTCAGTAGTAATTGTTCTCGTCAGTCGTTCGTCACTGAAGCTCACGAATAGTTACACGTTTTGGGAAAGTCGTAATGCATAAAGCTAAACGGAATAGTAATCTTTCGTTTTCTAAAGGAAAGACATGGCAATTGGAAGATGTACAAAAGGTTGCTGTGATAAATGTCAGTTAATCTTCTCTGACTTCTCCTCTGCAATCCAGTCGAGCTCAAACAACCATGCTATGCCAATCTTGATATTGTCATATGAGCTTCAATCTCATTGGAATGGTCTGCTAGAGCTGATATTCAGCCCGTGACGTTCGAACTTACCATGACTACTCGTACTTATCAATGGACTGTCGATAAACCCAGAGATCAAGCTCATTTCCTCAATTCCATCGTCAAAGTTTACAAATCATATACCAAAGGAGAACTGCCTGAATTGGTCAATTTCGCTCCTCCAGCACCTGGAAATTCCAGTATGTCCTCCACTTTCAAAATTATAATCACACTTTGCACATTCTGGTAACATGTAAGATCGACCGTCATGTGGAGACACCCAACTACCTTATGAACGCGGATCATTCTTCATGATTCATTACGCCACTGTGTTGTTTCGTATTCCGCTTGCTAACCGAGACAGCCCCCATTGTCGACACTAGACAATTACATTCCCTAACTCCTCCTTCTTCCTCTACTGCAGACCTCACACCTCCCGTTTTCCGTACAGCCAGGAGTGCTTCGACGTCTTCCGTTATCTCCGCTCATAGCTCTCAATACCCCACTTCTGATGGAGGTTCAAGTGCTGGAAGATTACGACCCTCTTTAGATGATCAACGTACTCCTACCATGGGTACTTTTGGTCGGTCACCTCTCGCTGAAAGTTCTTTCCCACCTCCACGCAGACCGCCAGGGAGTGATCTACGAGTTGTCACTCCAAGAGAATCAGAATTCACCAATGGTTTAGGCAGAGGTCCACCGCCAAATGTACGAAAAATGTCAGATGAGAGAGATAGAGGAAGATTGGTTCCGGATCCTAGAAACGCCCCGATGAGACAAGAGGGTCGTGGAGAGATGTCGAGACGACAATCTGATAATGATCGAGAAATTCTTGAGAATGAAAGATCTACCTTTCGAGAGAAAACTTATCTCAACAATCAAGGAAGAGGTAATGAGGTATTTGAAGATGATGGAGATCACAGAAATGGTCATGCACCCCAGATTCACACTATCCCAGCTTCTCCTGCTCCTCCACCGGAAAATACCAGTCGACCAGGACAAACAAATGATAAACCCAAACGAAGACAATCTTTTCATCCCCCTCCACTCAACACAGCTTTTTCACGCGAGGTTTTGTTGACGTCACGGACTGGAGTATTGCCTGGGGTAGCGGGACTGACAGTAGATGACGATGGAGGGGGCGAAGATGCAATCATGGCCAGCGTGGAGGAGATGTTGGATGGTTTTGATTGGACAGCCATGGCTGTAGATGAGCATGGAAGGAAGAAAGGTTCTTCGGACGCTATTGAGACTCGGCTTCTGGATGAACTATCAGCATTGGATTCGGTCAGCTTACTTCTCTTTTGAGTCTATTCAGCTGACGGACAGGCAAACATCCACGCCTTTTTGGAGTCTGATGATCGGATCGCTCAAGTTCTGGGACACATTGATGAGGCCTTGTTGGAGCTGGACGATATCGACTTGCAAATCACCGGATACAGGATGCAACTTAACGTCAGTTCAATTTTCCTCAATACCATTGAAATTGCACTCTTCACCCAGATGGAGCAGCGCGAGACACAGCTGATGATCAGGCGGTCTCTGATGACATCTCTTTCATAGAGTCACAAAATCGAGGTTTACAAGTCCAAACTTCCAATCAGCAAGCTCTCCTCAATGAGCTTCGACAACTTCTAGTGAGTCCAAGTCCAAAAATTGCGAAGAAGCTTATAGGATCAGCAAATCGTCGAAGTACCTCGACAAGACCTTGATATACTCTTACAAGAGTCCCCTGCAACTCCTCGGGGCGTACAGGCACTGGAGCGGGCTGCTGCGGCATTGTACAAAGCCCTCCAGGCCAGTATGGATACTGGTCAGTCTCTCCCCACAGCAATGATAATAGATGAGCTGACGGAATAGCCAACGCGGAGGTGGCGGCTACCATAGTACGCATGAGGGAATACCAAGATGCATCTGCGACGTTCTGCAGACGTATAATGGACTACTTGGATATGACATTCAAATTCCAGGTGAGATTGATGTCTTTCACCGCCTCATCTCTCCCTCCTATGCCATTCAATGCCAGCCTCATCATCTAGCACACGTCTACCGACGACCGATCTTTCCTCTCTACTCAAATACAAGGAGAAAGGATCAGTGCTAATTAATCAGGCGGAACAGACACTTGCCGATTTCCGGAAGTCGGGCAAGAAGGGCACCCTGTCGCCTCATACGACCATGGGAGAGCATCTGATGACTTACGAAGGTCTCGTTCTATACCTCAAAGAGATGGACGAAGAACGATATCAACGTTTATGTTCTGTAAGCAGATTTCTTTTTCTCCCTACCATATCTTCGTTCACCCCTTCCTCAATGTGATTGAGCGCTGATGGTCAGGCTTACATGTCTTCCGTCAGCCAACTCCACCAATCGGAAATCAAAGATCTCCTCATGGGATATATCGCATCGCTCAATTCTACTCCAGGCGAGAAAAATGAGATCTGTGAGTGACAAATCTGGTAATAATGCCCGATCAGAACGCTAACGAGTAGCTTTTGCCGCAGCTGCCGGACAGGGTGGATCGGCAAAGAATGCTCTACAGAAATCTCGGAATGCCATAGGGTTCAAAAGTGGGGATCAGAATAAAGGTGCAGGAGGAGGTGATGGAACAGTCTTGAGGACTGCGGATGTGAGTTTATTCATGCTTTTGATTTCCCTTTTGTTCGTCTGCGTGCGCTCGCCTTCGTCTTCCTGCCTCCCTTTCCGATTCCAGAGATTCCAGAACTACCCACTTCGTGATATGCGTGGCAACACTCCCTACTCGTTAGACTATATCATGAGCAATGAAATGGTGTTCGTGGAAGATCTAGATAGACGTCGTCGTTGTAATGAGCTAACTCGTATAGCTTTACCAACAAGCACTCACTCAAGTCGTCAATCAAATCGTCATCGAAGAAGACTTTATCAATGCTTTCCTCCACGTGACCGACACCGAGTCAACGTTTGCCGATCATATGGAACTCGATTCGTACTTTCGTCGTCAGGCAGCTCGTCATGCCAGCAGAGGTATGAGTAATGGGATGACCCAGCTTGTGAGATCGATGATGGATTTGATCTTTGGTTTTGTAGATCTGGAGTTTAAGAATTGGGTCGAGGCGGCCAACGAGCGGAATCCTCTGTACGTCGAGTTCACTGCTCAACACGTATTTCCTCTCTTCTCATAAATACCTTCGACATGTCTCGAAGCTGAGGCTCATGCCTCCTGACATACGCTATCATCGCGTCAACCTCGACTTCACGTTTCGTGGTTCGTGGTCCTAGAGGTTGACATCTGACACTCAGTGCAATCGTCGGAGTGATCAGCGTGACTGAACGAATAGCAAAAGAAGCAGAAGAGGAAAACACTTCAATCTTCTTCTCACAGCTCTTCAGTCGTCAACTATCTCGTCAACGTGCTGCCCTGGATGCCTTTGTGGTGAACTTTTTTTCTGTTCGTTCGTTCTGGAGACTCACTGGTAGAACGAACAAATTCGGACGATCGAGTCGGCGGCTAAAATTACCGTCAAGAAACGTAGAGGAGTTTCCTCCTTCGTCAAACATCTTCCCGTGGGCTCATTGTTCAACATCGAAAGCTTGAAGTTGACGAGATAGGTGTTCATTGACAAGCTGGAGAGCCAGATGGAAGCGAACGACGAATTGCCGATCCGTGGCAAGGTCAATACGGTGTATGAACGATTGATCAATGCTGTTCTTGGTGGTGTTCAACAGTTGGCCAAGATGGACAGGGCGGACGGGCAAGCTGCCGAGGACAAGGGACAGCTCAATTATCATGTGATCATGATTGGTGGGTTTCTTTCACCAGTTTCCATGCTCTCGCCACTTTTCCTTCCGTCGATCCGATCCGGTCTTGATTCAAGTTGTTCACAGTGTTAGAATCATGCTGAGTTCAAGAAAACATGCATCACTTGGTCGAGGACTTGTCAAATTTGAACATGTCCGTTCTGTCTGTATACACGGAACGAGCCAGGGGACTGTACGAGGAAAACTTGACGGGCTACATCAAACTTCTTCTCCGTCGGGCATTTGCACGAATGATCGTAAGTTTTCTGGTTTCCAAGACGTTCCTTCATTTGCCATCAGACGCCACATTACCGGGTAAGCTACTGATGAAATAGGACTATTTCGATGGCGTGAATAAGCTACTCCAAACCACACCGGCTTCGGAAGTATCTTTACACAACTCGTATTCACGCTCTGCACTCAAGAAGATGCTCAAAGACTATAGCAGCAAGGATGTACGCAAGGCGATCGAGGCGATGAGTAAGCGTGTGGACAAGCATTTTGTCAATGAGGATGACCCGGGTGACACGGGGACGCAGCAGCTCGTGCAGACGGTGTGGCGCGAGGTGACGGGCGAGCTGAAACGTGAAACGGAGAAGGCACAGGGTATCATCAAAACGAGCTATGGTGACAGCGGATTAAGTTTGGAATATGGACCTGCGGATGTTGAAGCTGCTTGCAAACGTGCCAGGGGCTGAGATGAAGTCTCTCTCAATCGATACGAGGAGCGAGGGTGACTCGATGCATCCAATGTTGTACTCGTCCTCCCTGCCTTCTGTCGTCGCGTCGATTCCCAACCTGACTGTCTTTCTTGCGTCATGAGGTGTTAGGTGGCTTGAGGGCGCGTCGATCAGGTGGCAGGTGGCAGGGATGGAATGAGTAATGAGTCATGACAACCCTCCCCGACTTAGGCACCCGTCCACGGCCGTCTTACAGGGTACAAAGCAGACACGGGTCTAGGGTCAGGCGGAGATATGACTAATTGACCGTTCGGTTCTGCGTTCGCCGGCTCGAGAGATTCCACGGCAAATGGGAATTTCTTCGCCGACGTAGGCACGACGTCCACGCCGTACGCCGCCCTCAATTTCATACAGCTGCCGGGTTTTTCCTACGACGGGATAATGAGGGAGGGGGTAAACGATGCGGAGAAGGGGGACACCAAAAAAAAGGACAATGGGAAATTGAATGCTGTGCTCCGGAAGCTTTCATCCTGAAGACTCTGAACCCATGCTTCTCAAGTCTTGAGTAACTAATTTTATCACGATTAACCACACACATCCACTAGGCGTCTGCTGTCAATCACCGTACTCGGTTGCGACGTTTCCGGTCAGCACGGTCAAACATCTCTAATTATCCAACGTTCATTCCAATCTTACTCTCAAAGCAAATCCGTTCATCGGATACCGAGGTGAACGACGGAGATACTATAACTACTACCTCTTACCTTTTAGGTCCTTTACGATTGACTCGACCGAAAAACCGAGCCCGAGTTTCGCCTGTGTTGAAAACTTTCCATTTTGAGACTTTTGACCCAAGTGGTAAAGTTTCCTCAACGACAGCTTGAAACCAATCGTTTTACTCCCTTACCCTTTTTTTCCCCCTTGACCGGTACTCCACCGTGTCACGCCTCTAACCTTCGGTTCCACAAGTGCGGGTCGAAAGCGACATACAACATCAACAAGTTTAGGTCCGGGTAACCGGATCCTTTGGTCGAACAAAGTCTCAAAGGAAGGGGTGTGGGTTAGGTGCGATTTCCATCTGTTTCCCATCAAATTCTGAAATCCGGGGGGCGTCGTCTACGTCGTCGTCACACACGAATCAACGATAACGACGTCAAAAAAGTCAAAGAAGAAAGACAAACCCCTAATTCTTTTCTTCCTTCCTTCCGGCCTTTGGGCACGAGGAGTTTTCAATCCCCCTTATCCATCCAAATTCTTTCAGTACTTCCTTCATAGTCTTTCCAACCTCATCTTTTGTGTACGACATCTCTCAATTACGTTTACTTTTCTTTCCCCACAAGATCCCCCTTCCCCTTCCCTTTCTCTTTATCTTCGTCATCCTCTCGTACTTCTTCCCCACCTCCCTACACCCCCCCCCCCCCAACCTGCCACACTTGAACGTATCGCCAAGACTTCGAAAGAGGTTAACGGGAAAATCTCTTCATCCCACTTCGGACGACCGACCTCCTTCCTGGGGTCCAACGACGGCCGAGTTATCCACAAGGATCTAGGGCTTCCTTTCATTCCTGCCCGTGTTTGCTGAATCCGGTAGCAATTATAATCTCAACGGTAGACTTTGTCTTTTCCCACTCCTCGTACAACTACTTCCGTCCAGATCTACGGAGCCGAAGTGCCTGACGGACGTGAGAGTATACAGGAGAGAAGAGAATAATACAAATTTATCAGAGGGAAAGCGAACAAAGCTGGAAATATTACGGAGAACACTCCGACCTAACTTGTATATCGCCCCTCCCCTCATCTCCTTCCATCCCCCCTCTACCCTCCCTTCTCCTCCTCCCGTGTGAATCAGCCACTTCCTTGCTTCTTTCGCTACCTACTTCTCTCCCACTCGTGTGCAAAATAAACCGTGCGACGAGTACAAAAGAAGTCACCACTTCGGATCGACAAATCTGAGGTGTGTAACACATCTATCTCGACTCAAGCTCCGTTGCTTGCTTCTTTTCTCCTTTAGGAACCTCTCATCCGTGGCGGATGTGTGCATATCGACTCGCCCGGCAACGTCAACCCTACCCTGTGCACACTTTCTCCCTCACCTTGAAATCATATTCCCAGTCCAGACCAAAATACTTTGTATATCTCGCCACAATTCCAATTTCCACCATCATTTCATTCTCAAAATCACGATCAACCTTTTCCCTAACATCATTTTCGTCTCTCAATCCATATCGTTATCAACGCTTCTATTTCTTGGCGCACGCTTCAGACTTTGACGAGGCTAGCTCTGAGGAGCAGCGTTCGAATCAACGAAGACTTTATCGAAATTTAAACGACATTGCATGCTGCCTCCACCCAACCCTTCCCGGCGTAATGCCCCCGCGGCTGCCATATCGATCGGATCGATGGGCTTGGCCAGTCCAGCCCCTCGAACCTCCCCCCGCGAATTTGGAGACCCCGTCTTTGTGGAACGGGGTATGTTCGCTGGCAGGTGGATGAGGTGAGTTTCCACCGTCTCTCTTGATCGTCTATGAATATACATTCCTTTCACATCTTTATACCCGTCTTAACTCCCAATATGCAAAACGGACCAATGCCGATCTCCTGATCGATCTTCGAGCTGACTTTCCAGATTCAGCCTTCACGTCGCCCAGCAACCTATTCTAGGTCGTCGTAAGACCGAAAAGGACCGTCGTCCTCTAGCACATTCCCCTATAGTGCGACTTCGAGTACGAGAATGTCATCGTCTACCTTCGACCTTAGACGACAGAGAGCGGGATCAATGGGAAGAGGAAGAAGTTGATGTGTCGTGAGTCTTTACCTCATCATTTTACCCAACACGGACTAGTTCAGGGTTATCATTCCGGTTCCTGTTTTTCCCCACTCATCGGCCGTGCGCCATCGACCCGGAGCTAGTTTAGTACCATTCTTTTTCAATCAAAAAACGTCTAGCCGTTAACGGGATGACGCAGTTCTCTCGAATCTTCGTATCTGATTTGCTCTGCCGAGCTCCGATCACCGGGCGACGCCCCTTTCGACCCTTCTGGAAGTGCTATGTCGACTCCAATGTCGAGACCCATGTGGGTGGTAGAACATGATGATGGTAGACCGGGTAGTGAGAGTACGAGTTCTGGATCACATGGTATAGGAGGTATAAATACTTCTTATTCTCCCTCTCCTCAAGATCCTTCCAGGACTAGAAGGAGGAGTGATCGTAGTGATGAGTTGTCTGAATCTAGTGAAGAAGATGTCGGAAGGACACATGAAGCCAAGAGATCTAGGTCGGAACCAGGAGGAAGAAACCTTTTTGGTAATTTGCATGTGGCGGGTGTACGTGTGGCAGCTCCAGAAGGAGGTATGGGACTTTGGTTTTTGTTTACTGTGAGTTGGGCGTCGTATCATGATTTTTTCATTCTTGATTCGGTATTATCAAACCCAGAGAAAGATATCTTTAGTACAACTTGCGGGTACTGGTAGAATGAGATTTGATTCACACCTGGTACGCCGGAGTACCTGGACTGGCAGCTGACAGTTTTAGGACCTTTGCGTGCGTTACGAAGGATCGTGCGTATTTTCATCTCATTCTCTATCATCTAATCTTCTTCGTCGATTGTCCATTGGGATTCTTCTTCCCCTCTATCATGGTCAAGGTAAAAGTCTGACTGAACAGCTATCACCTACGTTTCAGATGTTACGACCTCACAGCCATCGGGTCAGAGGATGATCCGAGACCGGAATTGGTAGCTTGTGAGAGTCAAGCATTTACAGTTTACTCTCCACGCAAGTGAGTCTTCGAGCGTGTCATATTCATTTTCACTCCTATCGAACTTTCTCACTTTCTCACTTTCCGACGTTCTGACTCAAACTGGCTGTTCATGTACCGCTTCAGGACATGGTGTGGTGAATCATAACGATCAGATAAGAGTAGCTGACATTTAGTTTTCCTGGTTTACCTAAACCTACTGATTTATCTGAACATTTCGCTAGACAAGGGTTCAAACTTAATACTCGGAAAGTGAGTAATCGTTCATCTTTAATCCTACCATTCCCCGTCCTTCTCCCAAAACCCCAATGTCCATCTCAGCGTACTCCACAGTCTTGTTCTGGCTATCCATCACATTCCTCACCATACATCCAACACATTCCTCATCTTGCATCCATCACATTACTCCCCTTACTTCCACCACATTTCTCACCTCAATTCCATCACTTTCCTCTATAACCTATCCTAAATCTCACACGTCATTTCAAGTGGAATGACCGCAGATTCTGACATTCAAGACCGAACGTACCATTTCAAACCTCCCTTCACCACCCACCGCCAGACCTGACTTACCTACTCTTCCACCTTATCCCGCTCCATCAACTTCATCATCTACCACCCTCGTTCTTTCCCCAGGACCATCAGGAACCTCCGGGGCGTCAGCAACATCAGGAGCTTCAACATCTTCCACAGAAGCAAGTAACGAAAGTTGGACTATTCAAGGTTCAGGTGGTATGTTACCTCCTCGAGGACATGGTTTTGAAGGTTTTTGGGCTAGAAAAGGTCAATGATGTCGGATGGATTTTTTCGTCAATTCCCTTTTCTTTCTATCTCTTCTTTGTCACATTCGTCAATTTTGTCTTTAACATATCGGTCAATCTTTAGTCTTTCGGTCTTTTATCATACTTTTAGTATACGTCCATAATCTTTATCTTGAAATAAGACCGACATAATCGAACCATCCCCAATTCCCAATTCAATTTTCATCTTCTTTGTAGCTCAACAATCCTTCATATGTACCGCCATTCTTTCGTATAACTTATCATCTCGTCCTCTCTCTCTCTCTTCTCTCTCTCTTCCGAGAATCCCTTACGTCCTATACAACGTTTCTCATCATTATCAATTGGATAATGTACTCACGTCGAACTTCGAAAGAAAAAACGAACCACAATACAGAAATACAGTGAAAAGAAAATGAAATGAACGAAAGAAGAGAAAAGAAAAGGAATATCATTGTTGTAGAGCCATTTTGTTTGGGTATCACCATGCATAACGTCGTCAATTTTTTTCAGTGTATAAACTTCCCGACTATCGTATCTTCATACATATACTATACAGTAAGACCATCAGTCGTTGCATATTCACTGACGTCATATGATCGGAAGATGACATACTGAGGTTACATCTCAGGTTTATCATCAAACGGATCGACTGTTGTACAGCAGTCAACAGGATTCTAAAACTGTATGCAATACATCTTCAGATAAAAGTATAGATAAAGAATGAAGTAAGAAGTTCAAACCATCCAATCAATGTTGGGATCCAATCAATGACCTAACCTTCCAAATAAATTCCCAACAACCCCACTACCACCCGCTTGACTAGTATAACTCTCCAAGAAATCCCTCATCATCTTGAATTCCCTTTTATCATCTTCGTCCAATTGTCCTAATTCAGGTATATCCTCTAAATCATCTTCTTCACTATCCTCCCCCGCTCGTCTGAGAGCAGCACGAAGTTCACGATCCATAGCTTCTAATTCACCTTCTGACATGTTATCTATATCATCTTCAGTAGGTAAGGGCATTTGGAATTGAACCGATTTATCTTTATCTTTATCTTTCTTCGTCTTCGTTTTTGAGTTTGTCTTGTCATCTCCCTTATTCTCCATCGTCTTCTTGCCCTTATCTGCAGTAGATGTTTTAGACGGTTCAGCTTTTGTCTGTTGTTTCTCCTTCACTTTCTCCTTCCCCTTGTCGCCCGTGGCTTTACCCTTGACACCATTCCCCGTGGCACGAGCCAACTCCTCTTCCATAGCGTTCATGACCTTATCGAAAGAATCAAGTGTCATATCCATCTCTCTGTTCTCTTTCCCTTTCCCCTTCTCGACGGCAACATTGTTCTCCCTCTTCTCATTGATGATCTTGTTCACCTTTGGAACAGGCACGAAAGCTATCCGTCAGCTGGAGATTGTGAAACAACAGCTCAACTCACCTCCTCTTTCTCGCCGTTCACTCAATATATTCTCCCAGGCATCATCCGTGATTCCCAAGGCCTCTCTTGCAAAAGCTAAAAACTCATCTTGCTCAGCTTCCATATCAACATCTGCTTCATCTCCCTGTAAACCTTGATCCCTCTCTAAATTCCTTATCATCTCATCATCTATATCGTCCCCTAATACCAGATTACCCCTGTCTTCTTCGTCTTCATCTAGAGTCTCTATCTTCGGGGCTGATTCGGCCCATTTCTTCTGAGCGATGATCCATCCTGCGGAACCTTTCACTGGAAGGTCTTCAGAATCGGAATCAGAATCGGACGAATCGACTCCGTCGAATTTATCTTTTGGGAATATCGGTGGACGCATCTTGAGTGGGGTGGCCTTTTTCAACTCCTTTTTGACATCTGAATCGTTCATTGTAACATCGATCTTGGTAGTCGTTTGAGTTTTTGAACCCCATTCATCCGCAGGTAGGTCAGGAACCAACTCGTTGAGTCGTCTCTCCCGTTCTTCAGCGGTTATTTCTTCTTCAGACTCCTCAGACTCCATTTCATCATCGGACAGTTCACTATATCGTCAGCTCTGAAACGTCGACAATAGAACGCAAAGCTGACTCTGCAAATCGTGCCCCTTCTATGTCTCCCTGTCCCCCGACGAAGCTCTCTACTTTATGTGCCAACTCTCGTAGAGCCCGACCATGTTCTTCACCTAACTCAAGCTTTTTTGCCTCTTGCGTATCATCCGTTGATCGTTGCGCTTGACCTGAAGCTCGGAGCATCATGGCGTCCAGTTCATCGGGTGAAACTTCTAACCATGAATCAGAGTCCTCCGGTGTGGCAGGTGAGACCTCGATGTCTGTCAAGGGTATCACAGCGACGGCTTCGATGGCTTGATCCACCAGGTAGGCAAAAGACGGCCGTTGAGCCGAGACACTATCTCGTCAGGTCTTATACACCTTCGCACGATATGGTCACACTTACTCTGCAGCTCGAGCGGCTTTCCATCCATCCTTGGCCTTTCGTTCCCTAGCTTGCCATTGCTCACTACCTCTCAGTTCGGTACCGAAGAACCCAGCTCTTGTCAAATCTTGTAGGTATTTCTCGTAAGCTGGATCCTTGGACAGAGCATCGTCGTCGATCTACAAAGATCAGCTCAGCTTCACGAGATATATGGAAGTATCAAACTAACCGTACCACTCTTCCCCCGTCTTCCACCTTCACGGTACATGATTTCGAACCCCGTCGCTATCTTCACTCCCAAATCCCTCCACTTCATCTCGCCCGCATCAGCACCTTCTCGGGGTGTCCATTCTGGTCCAAAGACCCGAGGAGGGTGGAATTTCTGTCCTTGCAGCTGGGCATAAGCTGCACGAGTCAAGAGTACCGAAGTGAGCACGGATGGGGAAGGTGGGAAATGATTCATCCGAGCTGCAGCCTACACATCAGCCGACGGCCTCATACCCTTGATAGCCGAGTCGATAGACATACGCGTAATTGGGCAGGATCTCGGACGTAGAACCCTTCCACAGCTTTTTGTATCAGATCCGGGGAAGAATGAAGAGCCCTAGCCACGGGAACAGGGAGCCAAGCTTTCGTTCTGTGAAGATGTGTGTCTAGTGCTTGTGGATATCTATCCGTCAATATGGAAAATCTCATAGTCCGGATATGACCTCACCCTTTGATACGTTCCCAGACAGCTTCTTCTACTCCATCCCCAGCAAAATACCTTCCAGTTCTCACTGCTTGTATAGCATCTTCCTCGTTTATCCATGCGTCTGTATCAAATCGAGGTCCATCGGCATCTTCATCCAAGACCTGTTTGGGACGAGACGTTCCGGAAGAGCGTACATTGAGAGGTAGAAGGTGTAAATGTCCATTGTAAAGCCATAACTATTTGGTCAGTGATCGATATCGCATGCTCGTCTGTCTGGGGCATGTGACAAGCAGGGACTTCGTGTTCTAAGAATGAGGAAAAGAACGAAATGCTTACTCTGTTGTGGGCATTCTCCGGCGTGACCCATCCAGGTAGCGCATGAGCAGCCTCAATCAATAAGAATTCTCCATCAGTATCTCTCACACTATCTGTGAGCTTCCTGTCGGGCCCGGCACATTGCGACAGCTCACCTGATGACTAAATCAGACCACTTCTTACTAATCTCTCTCAAGAGCCAGACGACAAGCCATTCGTCATCTATCGCATCACCTACTCGCATAGTCCCTTCTATCTTGCTTGGAGTGGAGTCAGATACCTTGAGCTCCCAGGCATCTTTGTTCCACAACCAAGGAGTGGTGAGAAGAGAGGTGACGTGTTGGGTGATGAGAAGAGCGAGTGCGGTGGGGGATTCGGAGGATGATGAAGGCAAGTGGAGTACATAGTGCAGGGTATCCTCAGAGATGGATGGGAGGGGGAAGGAGCGGCTTTCATGGGATAGTGAAGGGAAGGATGACATGATGGGTGGTATATAGTGGGAAGAGGAGAGAGGATGAACTTTTTCGAGTGGCAACGTCAGAAGCGACAGGGGCCCCACCCATATCATCCCTCTTTATCCCGTGTTACAAGCATATGTCAAACAAGTGACGAGCAGTATGACAGTCAGAGAGTATGTGCGATGCAATGCATATAGTGATGGCAAGCATAGTTGTGTGATGGTAGCAACATGCTAGGAGCCATCGAAGAGGCTCACACCGACTGAACGGGATCACTGAACCAAGTGAAATTTGGATGCACCTATACGTACGTATCAGCTCTACCTCCATTTCACATACCCCATACGAACTCGCTCACCCTAGCCAAGACCTTGCCAGTGATTATACCGACCGGTACTGGTCCATACATCCTCGAATCCGTCGAGTTACTGATATTATCCCCTTGTAGCCATACATGTCCTTTTGGTATTTTCACCCATTGACCCTCTCCTTTTCTCCGACTTCTCAGCGGTCTTCCCTCAGAGTCAACATCGCGTAATATCACCCTTCCATTTCCTAACTCATCATCCTCCTCCGCCATCCATATACTTTCCCTACCTCTACGCGGCTCGACTTCTATGATATCCCCCTGTATCCCTATCACACGCTTGCACACCGTCTCGTTGGGCTTCATGGGGTTGATAGATACTACCAGATCACCTCGTCGTGGACCTCGTGCTGAAGAAGAAGAGGAAGAGCGGAATACGGATCGATAAGGTAGAGGAGAGATGAGTACCCAATCACCGTCATGAGACAAGGTGGGGAGCATGGAGAAACCCCCACAAGGCCGGATGGAGGCGATGTCGGTGGTGAAGAGATGATAAACTGCGACTATCTGAACTGTGCGTATCAAAGTGGGAAGAGGGATACGAAGGAGACGAGGTAGTCTTGTGAATGACATTGAGCAGTGTCAGGAGTATAGCAGTACATACCCTCCTATGATACACCCGCGCAATAAGTTGCTTACAGTAGGTTTTATGGTTGAAGGGGAGGTGAAACGGCGGCGATGTCCGATATGATGCGGGGTGAAGCGGGGTAACGACAGAACGTACTGGCAACGGACAACATGTCCGACGAATTCCTCGTCATCAAACTGTCCTTTGTAAGCATACTCCTTGACCCTCCACACACCACACTCCCATCTATTCATAACAATCTTGACTTTGCATCTTGTCATCTTGTATCGCCACTTGTCCCACGAAACCTTATAATACCCGTATGTCCCTCAATTGTCTCACAGCACATCATCACTCATCCATAGCCGTGACCAAACCTTCGATCAACATGTCCACTCCACCCATTCGATCTCACACAGAAGCTTCAGCGTCTATACCCACCATGGACATTGTCGATCAAGCCGTCGATACTTCAGTTTCCCCGTCAGCCTCCTCTTCAGCCCCAACACCCTCACCAAACACACATCAAACCTCCTCGTCTGTTCAGGCTACCAGGGGCACCGATGATGGAGGTGTTTCACCTGTAGATGGGGTCCGTATGACCGACCATACCCCTGGGACAGACCCCAACACTCCTGTCTCTCCTTCAGATACAGCTCGCCACTCTTCCAACGAGCCCGCAGCCCAGACCGAGCACACTGTACCGCCTCCAAGTACCGATTCTCACAGACCTCCACCACCCTTTGTCCCACCCATCTTTTTTCTCCCAGATGGAACCGTCATCTTCAACCATCTTCCTCACCCGTCCGATTTCTTCCATGCTCCTCGTACCGACCCCACTCCACCTGGAAACGTCCCCTCGGACACCTCTGAAGCTCCACATAATGCTCAACCACATATCACCCTACCTCCTCCGGTATTCCACTTCTTCGGTCCTATGCCACCTGCGGAGCCTGAACCTGATCCGGAAAAGGCTGCCGAGTTATTACGCTCCCTTCCTACCGTCGGCAAGGGACTGTTGCGTAGGGTGAACAAGATCCTCGCTGCGGATCAAATGGAGGAAGACCGAGATGAGCGTGGTTGGAAATGCGGCGTCTGTCTTGAGGGCGTAGAAGATAAGCAGGAACCGACAGAAGCCAAG